TCAGCTGCTGGATGCGTTACTGGCCTCGCAACAGGGGCGGCAAGCGAGGACGCAGGACGAGGCGGTGCGTGGAGGCGGTACCGTAGTTGAGCCGGACACGTCTTCGCTCCGCCGAACCTCCCACGAGATGCTGCTCCACGCCGTATTTGGTGAGTGGGCCGCCCTTTGTGCTTCCAACAAGGACGCGCACGGCGGTTTGGTCTCAGAATCGCTTCTAGACATTTTTCTTGACGGTATTGTTTACACACATGCGGCCAAATGGAGCGGTGAGGAGGCAGATGAGGCAGCTGGCGGCACGATGAGGGACGTGGTGTGGATGTTTGTGAGGGACACTTGGGGCATGACACCTATTGAGCAGGAAAAATTGTTGCCGCGACTCGTGCAGCATGCGTGGGAAGCCTTTATTGCGGAAATGCAAAGGCTGGAAGAGGAGGTGCTGCGTGTGTGCACAGCGCTAGTGAAGTCACCCAATGCAGAGGTGGCAGCGCACGAGCGACGGGGTGAGGCCCGCACACTTGTCACGAACGCGGTTCGGGTGCTGAGGATGTTGGCGTCTCCCTCAGCCCCCGCGGAGGCCGCATCGATGAGGGACACGTCCCATGCCCATGTTTTGGTGGCAACCTCCGCTAAGGCAAGACGAGTGGTGCAGATGATTGGTAGGTGGCTTCCCGTTTGCTGCGAATTTCTTCACGCACTCGCACCGCGGCAGGATAATAGTCGAAAGGAGGAGAATGAGATAGGGAAATGTCCAGCGGGAAATAACAAAGAGTGCAGTGACACTCCCGCAACCCCAGAAGCGGTTGAGTGGATCCGGCAACTGAAGGGGCAGGTGGAGCGTGTTCTCCGGCTCTTAGCTCAGTCGGATGAGACGTCGCCGTGGATACTGATTTTAGTAGATATCATCGCACGCGTCTTTTACGTGACGAGTAAGGACGCATTGCAGACCAACGGCGACGCAGATGCTGAGGTGAGGCAGCATATAGCACTTAAATCCTTCTTGACTTCCTACGAAAAGAGCGATGATGTGCCACCCGCAGCTGCCCTAACAGGTCACTGGACGCTTGCAGAGGCATGTAACATGAAGATAAGTCACGTCTTGTCATGTGCACTGGACAAAACAGGTTTCCCAAGCAGTCTCAGTACTCGCGTACTGCGTGTGTTGTTAGTGCAGCGTCCGATAGCCACGCTGCGGCACCTGTTAACTTTTTTGTGTCCCGGCAACAACGTGGCGGCGTTGTGTGACTGTGAGCCCGTGATTACCGATAAGGGAAGTGCCAGTGATGCGCGTTCCATGGCGTTTATGGAAGAGCCATTGCAGGAGAATGCCGTGGCGAGGACATTTTTCCCGAAGTTTTTCTCCGTCTTTCGGGCTATAGAGCAGGCATTGGGGAGTCTTTGTGGGGATCTGACGGACCACGACTCGGATGCCGATGCCGTGTCACTCATTCTGGATCGATTTTTGGCAGCCGCAATGGATAAGGTCTTCACGACGGGCTTTGCGCAGGAAAAAGGCGTGGCGGCGAGCGAGTGGCTCATGTTTTTAGCATTCATATGTCACGATACGCCTCTTTTTGACGTCAACTCGCTTCATCACGTTCGCAACGCCGCTCGTCGCTTCTTTGCGCCAGGCAGGCCCATGATTTCGTACCTGCACGAGCAGATTGTAAAGCACGGGCGCCATGGCCTTACTGCCTTTTTTCTTCCGCCGCTACGGGCGATTGGTGTGGATTACAGCACCTCCAGTGATCAAGAGCATCTGGGTTGTGCCCTGCGCTACCCGCTTTCGGCAGAGGTGGCGTACTTTCAGGAGCTGCCGCGCGGATATTACTGTCGCCAGCCACTACGTCTTGCGCTGAATGCAAAGAACGACGCGTTGCACTTTTTTCACGACCTTCTCATGCCACCAGTGGTGGACGTGCTTTCAAAGAATTCTCCCATTGTGGAAAGGAAACTGAAGGAAGAGGACCAGGTGGCGGTGCGGGATAGTTTTGTCGACATGATCGTTCATATTGGAATTTTTGTGTTGGCGCGCGTGCGTGGTGACGCCGATTTCCCCCCCGTGACGGACACAGTGACGGCGGACGCGATGTCATCTTTTTTTTTTGGTATCTTGCGGCTGTGCAGCACTGTCACTTACTGGGATGCAACCAGGCGACATGAGATTCAGCGTGCCATTGTCAAGCAACTCTGTGCAAAAAGCCCCGCCGCATCGAACCCCACAGCGACGTCCGGCAACAAAAGGCAAAACGGTGGCAGTCACAGAGCGGGGGAGAGAACGGCACCGTTGCCAATGGCATTTCTCCTTCGTGGCGGCTGCACGCTGGGGGACGGAGACGCAGAAGCGGGTGGTGTGTCGGAAGGGGAAACGGAATTGCCGCAAGCCTGGCACGACTGGTTCTGCAACGTGGAGCTTGAAGATATTGATGCACGTGCGGGAGTCTCGGCGATGACGCTCCTGCGGATTTGTAATCGCGGCTACATGAAAGTTATTCCGACAAGGACGTTACTGGAGCGTCGGGCCACGCTGGAGCAGCACGCCAGAAAACAAAAGGAGTCAGGTTCACGGGAAAAAGTTGAATCTGCAATGGAGGCAGCGATTCTGCGGGATGTGAAGCGGCTGCGTGGACAGCGGGACGGTAACGCGGGGAGGCAGACAAACCCACAGGATCAACCGACTGTGAAAGAGAAGGTTTTGGCGGGGGATGAGATGAAGGCAGAGAATGGGGTTGAGGAGAATGGCAAGGCGACGGTCGTCAAGGCTGAGAAGTCAGATGACAACAAGGGGGAGAAGGAAATACCAATGCCAATCCCCGATGAAAAGCCGCTTCCCATCGCGGTAGTGAAGCCGTACATTGAAGCGATGGTTGTGACACTCATGCAGCGTGCCCGTATTTCTGTAGTGGATGGCGCTGCGGCTGGTGTGGCGCTAAAAAAATGGCTTATGGCGGTCTCGGGACGATTCGAACCGCAGGCCCTTTTGGAGGTGGTGCGTCGGGTGGTGTTGCAAGCAAACACCAAACTGACGCACGCCACAAAGTTGGAGTGTGCTTCACTATCCGCGTTTTTAGGGACCGTTGCGGAAGACATTGTACTGCCGTACAAACTGAGCTTCCTTCCTTGCAATCCCACGCATACGAAGCAGCAGCGTCAACAGGGAACTGCGCCCGCCGAGACGAAGGAGAAGGACAACAGCAACGAGTGGCTCCATAAGGTCCTTCCATTCTCGGAGAAGGATGCTGGGATGCTGCTGCGTGTTCTCATTGCCGACACGACACGTGCTGTGACCCGCTTTTTGGAACACGCCACGCCACTTGGGGACTGGAAGGCGTACATACTCACGTTTCACATGCGACGCATTATGGGCCTTCTTGCTCGCTATGAGTCGGCATACCGTGCGGCGTTGGCAAGGAGACTGCAGCAATTGGGTTTAACGTCCGTTGTCATGGAAGGCACTCACCCCGTCCAGCTGTTGGCGGCAGTGGAATGCCCTCTGCTTGAAAAGATGACACGACCAGCAGCTGATGTGGACCACCTATTCACAAGCGCAATGCCAACAGCACAAGAAACACCGGTGCCATTATCATCATCCACGTCAGGGACGCAGATGAACTCAACAGCCGCCTTGGGAGGAGGCAATGGTGGCAACACTAGCAGGAAAAGCTGGTCGAAATCTGTGGATGCATCCAAACGGAAGAGGCAACGCTCCTCCGACAACTCCCATTCTCATCGTCACGGACGCCGTAGGAACGGCCCTCGCGATCAGGAAGAATGAAAGCATGTGTTTTGTTTTTTCTGTGTTTCAAGATCTCATGTTTGTGTTTGTGTGTGTGTGTGTGTGTGTGTGTAAATGTGAGAAGGATGGAGAGTTATAAACACACGCGTCCACAATTCCTGGCGCCGTTGGATATTAGACGCATACACACGAATAATGCAAGAAAAGAGGAATAAATTAAGGAAAAAAAAAGAAAAAGGAGGGCTGGCAAACTCTCCATTTGTATTGCTTTTTGACGTTCTGTGCTTTATTTGTTTTCGTGCTTGGGAGTAGAAGTGACTCTCTTCCTCTCGACCCACTTGCTGACCGAACGGTTTGCCTGTTCGCAGATTCTTGTGCTCTCTAATTTGGGGGGCTGTTGGGGCGATGAAGCGCATGGACGAGGTGGTCCCGGTAACGCATGGAACGAGAGAAGCAAATAAATGATGTCTTCTGTTGTTTTTTTTTTTAATGGACTTGTGTTGTTAAAAAGGGGTGAGGGGATGTTGTTTTGGTTATTTTTCAATTCTTTCATGTTTCTTTCTTTTGTTGTTGTTGCCTCCCGAGTAATTTTGAGTCTTACACAACCCACTCACTTGTTTACAGGCGTCCTTGTGCTAAATCAAATAACACACAAACATACACTACCTAGAAAAGAAAGGTTTTATTTTTAACAAGAGAAATTTTAATTAAAATGCGCCGTCTTACTGTCTCTAGGCTTTTCTCCGCTGCCGTCACGACTCGTGCGTTGACGACGTTGACAGTCCGTGAAGCGCTTAACAAGGCCCTCGACGAGGAGATGGAACGTGACAATAAAGTATTTATCCTTGGGGAGGAAGTAGGCCAGTACCAAGGTGCGTATAAGGTGACCAAGGGACTTTTGGACAAGTACGGCACCTCGCGCGTTATTGACATGCCCATCACGGAACACGGTTTTACTGGCATGGCAGTCGGTGCTGCGATGAGTGGCATGCGCCCTGTGTGCGAATTCATGACGATGAACTTTGCGATGCAGGCTATTGACCAAATTGTCAATTCTGCGGCGAAGGGGCATTATATGTCCGGTGGTCAGTTGTTATGTCCGGTGGTGTTCCGTGGCCCCAATGGCGCCTCTGCTGGTGTTGCGGCGCAGCATAGCCAGTGCTTCGCGTCGTGGTATGCCTCCGTGCCTGGGCTGAAGGTGTTCGCGCCGTACAACTCCGAGGACGCGCGTGGGATGATCAAGACGGCCATTCGGGACGAAAACCCGGTTGTGGTTCTTGAGCATGAGCTCATGTACGGTGAGTCCTTTTCGGTCTCGGATGAGGCGATGGGGGAGGACTTCCTTATTCCCTGGGGCAAGGCGAAGGTGGAGCGGGTCGGCCAGCACATTTCGATGATTGGCTTCTCTCGCGGCGTGGAGCTCTGCCTGAAGGCGGCGGATCAACTCGCGAAGGAGGGGATCGAGGCGGAGGTGATCAACCTGCGCTCTCTCCGCCCGCTTGACCGTCGGACGATCATCGAGTCCATTATGAAGACGGGCCACGCCATGACAGTGGACGAGTCCTTCCCCGTCTGCAACATTGGGGCGGAGATATGCGCCGTCGTCATGGAAAGTGAGGCATTCGACTACCTCGACGCTCCTATGGAGCGGGTGTCGTGCGCCGACTGCCCCACGCCGTACGCGAAGGATTTGGAATTGGCATCGCAGCCGCAGGTGTCAGATGTTCTTGCCGTAGCCCACCGTGTCCTCAGCTGAACTGAGGAGCTGGGATTTCAAGCAAGTAGGAGAATTAAGAAGGAAAAAGAAAAAGAAAAGAAATGGGTGAGTGAGTGGGGAATGAAGAGAAAAGTGAGGAGGAAAACCAACGAATGAAAACGGAGAGATGGCGGTGGCAAACAATTGAAAGGACGGGACTCTGTAGTGCTAAGGAGAGGAGGGAAGTGAAATTATGTATTTGTGCCTACCTGGACGAACAGCGCGGATACAATGAAGAGTCAATATTACGCCATGATATAACGATAAGTTTCCTCACGCAAAAGCACACACACGCATATATGTGGACATGTATGTATACATGTAAGTGCGTCTGTCTGGAGGTGATGGAACTGCGGAAACGGCTCAAACGGCATGAGTCTGTGTCGTGTTTTTTGGCAATGAAGAGGGAGGATGACATAATGAATATATATATATATATAAACTAAAATAATTAACACGTAAGGAGGGTGGATAGAGGAAAAGGGCATTTAGATAGCAATGCTCTGGGGAGAGTAAAGAGAGAAGATGAGGTTAGAAGTATGTGTCTACACGTTAAGATACATACATGCATTCATGCCTACACATACTTTACTTGAAAGGAGTAGGCGTACGTAAAGATGCCAGGGGAAGGAAAAAAAAAAAAAAAAGGGAATAAACAAAAACAAAAGGGATGAAGGAGGGGGGAAGTAAAGAAGCACAACAAAAAAGAAAAGAAAAATGAGAGAAATAGACAGAGGGAGAGAGAGATTTGGGCTAATGGACGGTCTAATATGAAAGGGGGACTCTGGCGGGAATGGTGGAGTTCAAACACCAAATTTTTATTTTGGTTTTTTTTTTTTGTTGTTCCTTTTTTTATTATTATTATTATTTGCGTCACCCAAATAATGAGCTGCCGTGTCTCATTTCTTTTTTTTTTCTTTTTTTTTTTTTTGTTGTTGTTTGTGCGTCTGTTCTTTGACTCTTTGAATATCGTCTTTTTTTTTCTTCTTTTTTTTTCTTTAAATGGACTTAACTTCACGTTCCTTCAGAGGACTCCCCAAATCCCCTTCTTTTCTTCCTTCTGCCTCTTTGGTATTTTCCTCATTCATTCATTCTTTTCTTTTTTTTTTTGTTTTTTTTGGAGGAAAGGAAAAGGAGGAGGAAGGGGGCATATGTGTGGTGCACACGGGTTGATAATTTTTGTTCCTCATTTGTGATTAGTGGTCTATGAAATGACGATTTCTACGCCTCCTATTCCCGTTCATGACGGTCTGTTTGTACGGGGAGGGGGAGGGTCTTTGTTGCGGGATCCACTTTTCCTCACTTTCTCTCTTTGTTTCTGTTTCTTTTTTTTTTTTTACAAAATGGTGTACACTGTGTTTGCATGTATCTTCCTTTATTTACTTTACTCTTGTAGTTTATTTTTGTGTGTTGTTGAAGTACATGTTGACGCATTATCTGCGACGGCGCGTTTCAGTCATTACGACCGATGGTCGCTACCTTGTTGGCGTGCTGCATGCCGCCGATCAGCTGCTCAATGTTGTTCTCACATCCTGCGTGGAGCGCGTATTTGACGAGGCGAGGGAAAACGCGGGTGGCTCACAGGAGCAACAAGAAAACCAACCCATGAGTAGCAACGATAACAGCGGTGGGGGCATGATGCAGGAGTTGCCTATGGGCGTGATGATGATTCGTGGGAGTGATGTGGTCTGTGTGGCGGCTGTCGACACGGTGGAGGAGGCAAAGTTGAGCATTAAATCATGGCGTGGACGTAACCTTCCAGCTGTGGAACGTGTGCCACGTGCAGCAGCAGCAGCGGTGTCATGAAGCAGGAACACGAAAAGGGAGGAGATGAAAGCGAAATATGGACGGGAAGTTATGTGTGCGTGTTGCACGAGGGCCGCGTTCTGTGCGTCATATTGCATTACGATTATCTACATGGAGGAACTGTGTGTGTGTCTGTGTGTGAAATCAAGAAGAAGAGAACATCTGTATTTACCACCATCACACACACACACGATTCCTCTCTTTCTTTTTCTCTCTTGTTCCGTTCACTTTTCTTCTTCCTTTTTCATCGCTCCTTCTCTTTGGATGCCACCTAGGTGTTTGTACGAGAGGGAAGAGCAAAGATCGGCAGTGGTAACTGTACGGAGGAAAAAGAGGCACGCTTGGGAAGTGTGATAGGGCAATGTACACATCACTGAACAGGCATTATCCTGACCTCTTGCGCACATTTTACAAGAAGTCGCTGCAGGGGGTCGCTCGGAGCGTCCCGAAGGATGAAGGCGGTGCCTCCAAACGCTTCGGCGGAGCAGGGAAGATGGCGAGGAAAACAGAAGCTGGAGAAGAAGAACCAACGGTCGCAGATCGCACGTCCGATGTCGAGAGTGAATTGGAGGAGTTCCCACCATATGTGGACCCAACAGAAGAGCAAGAGGTCTGTCTGGATCCTATTCGTGCACTGAGGATTCCACGCTCACGGTTTCACACGGTGAAAGAGCTGACGCTCTGTCGCAAGGGTATCACGCGGCTCCACAGTAATGTGCAGTTATTAAAAAATTTAGACACACTTATCATAAGACATAACCGGCTAAGACAAATTGACTTTCTGATTCCCCCGAGAAATTCTCGTGACGTCTTTTCAGACTCGAGAGTTTATGAAGAAAGTGCGCTCGTTGACATTCCTCATGGCACATTACGGGGCTGTCGTTTTCTACGACGCCTTTACGCCTCTCACAACTGTCTGCAGACACTGGATGGTGATGTTCCCTATCTGCGATACCTCGAGGTGTTGTTTCTTGCGCACAATCGTCTCAGCAACCTTAACGCCGTCTCCGCTCAACTGAGGCCCCTCAAATGTCTTCGCGAGCTGGACCTGCGTGGGAACCCCCTATGTGACGAGGAGGGGTACCGCCTCTTTTTGATTCACGAGCACCCACACCTCGAGGTGTTGGACCGTCGCGTTGTGCGGGACGAGGAGCGCAAGGAGGCCATCGCGTACTTTGCTTCCGGCGCCGGTGGGGCGGGTCGTCACAGGGGCCATGGACACCACGCCACAGGCAGCGTTGCGGACCTTGCGGAACCGGCGACAGGGTTGCGGCTAACACTGACGGAGCCATTCTCGGCAGGGGAGAGAAACGAGGGGAGGAACGACGTGAACCCCACCAAAGGGAACAAAAAGAATTCCGGACCTTCTGCCATGGAACAGCCGTTGGTATCAGCTTTGCCAAGGCAACGGATGTCAAATGCGTCTGGTGGTGGTGGTGGTGGGATGCGGCAGAATGAGAAGACGAAATTTTTGGTGGCGTTCCTTCGGACGTATACGCCGCCCGTTGTCGGGGAGGTTGTTGCCAGCCCGCGCCAGGCTATTTTTCAGCCATCCGCGTGCGAGCGCTTACTTGAAGAAAAGGTCTGGCGCGATAAGCAGCTGAAAAGTAAACGTCAACAAAAAAAGACGCAGGAACTTGCCGCGGAGCAGCAGGAACTGCGAGAGAAACATCAGGCATTTCACGCAACGTGGGCACTTTCGCGTCGAGGGATGCCGTTATCTGCAGAGAAGTGGGAAATGCTTACGAAAGCAGTGGAGTCGTCAAACAACACATCTTTACCGGATACACAACCTGCCCCGCAGCGCCGCGTCTCTCTGCGTCGTCGTTCAATTGCGGTGCGTCAACCATCAACGGAGCAGACGGGAAGAAAGACGTCGAATCCTGTAAGCTTCAATTTAGAAAATGAACCTGTTGAACTGCCGCGGCTCCCTTCACCAACTGTGAGAAAAAGTGATTACAGCGTCATGTATGACGCCCTGCTGGGCCGTTCAAAGAATGTAGAGATGAGGATTGGGCAAAATTTTTTATGCCTGCCTGAAATTCGTCGGCTGGGGCGTATAAAAAATATATTGGGACAAGTGACGGAATTCCTGCGCCAACCAGCAGAGGAAAGAGGGGTGAATCCGAAGCAATTCAATTCTATCCGTGAAATTCAGCAACAAAAAGACGCCTTGATCCCAGAGCCATGGGAACACACATCCATAGAGGGACTGACAACGACGATGAATTCGGCAGAGCAGCTGGAGTATCTTTATCTCATGGTCATGTCGTTTTTTCTACCAACTGAATTTAGTGCTCTTGAGGGGCATTTTATGACGAGCACCGGGGAGATTCTGCCGGTTCAGGAGCCCCCGCGATCAAAGAAACAGACGAAAAAGGATAAATCCCGGCAGAGTGACAGTACACAAACCTTGACAAGTGGCAGTACCTCACTTCTTGTCTCCGCTGCGGCCGCACTAAGGCAGAGGTTACCAGCGGCCCTCACAGCCACAAACATTGAAGTTGGACCGCCCGAACGAACAACGTTTGTGCAAATAATGAATATGCTTGATGATCATAGCGGAATTTGGGACCTTGACCTTGAACGGGTGTCAGAGGCTTTTCGTGAGGAGTATATGAGCAAAAAAAAATCGATTTGTACGGACGGTTTCCCAAAGGATGAGGAGAAAAGCGTCGTTGTCTCTTCTTTTCGGCGAGGACGACGTTCCGTTGGAAAGTCGCGAGCCAAAGGAGAAAGTCGCGGCGTGTCCAAATCCTCACCACGTTGCACTGATATAAGAAACGTTGTATCGAACCCCACGCCATCGCCGGCGATTAAGGCATCCAGCTTAAAATTAGGCAATGTTCTATTGGACATTGTCCGCTATTTGCCGTTTGTAAAAAATAGACTGGCCTTTTTTCAAAGGAAGTGCACGGAAACCGCATCAAAAGGCGTTAACGGCCCTTCTGGAGAGGCCGCACGGGAGTGGTTTGCCAAGACGCAGATTGCACTTATGCACTATGAACGGCTTTTGAAAGCAATGAAAATGGCGAACTTAACCGAGGAGAGTGCTCTTGCCCGTTTGGTGCCACTGGAAAGCATCGCGGTGCAGGAGGTGCAGGAAGTAGGCTCGTTCTTTCGATCGCCTGCAGCCTCCTCTTGACGTGCACCATCACCTTTCACTGTGTCACGAACGGCACAATATGTATATATATATATGTCCCTCTCTATTTTCAAGGATGTATGGCTGACAGTTTGTTTTCTTCTTTTGGGCTGTTACTTATTTGAAATGTGCAAAAATGTATTTTTTCCAGTAGCTTTGCATTTTTTTTTTTTTTTGTGTGTGTGTGTCTGTGTGCGTGTATGGCTCGTCTTGCGGTTGCTGTTGGGTCAGGGAGGGGGTACGAGAAGACAGGAGGCTGGCGGGGTACTTCCTGGCGGTGAATAACATCCATGCAATGCGCTGTCGAAGATGTCCCTTTCTTTTATTACCTTTTTTCCCCCCTTTGGTTTTTTTGTCTGTGTGTGTGAGTGTGTGGAGAGGCTGTGAGTATTGTCTTGTGGTGGTGGGGTCGGGAAAAAAAGGGCGAGAAGAAAGTGGGAAAGGAGCGGCAAGAAACAACGAGTAGTAGTGGGATGGCATTTCGTCTCGTTTCTTCCACGCCGTTGCTGGCGGCACTGGCGCCGGGGATGGCGACAGGAACGAATGCTCGCCTCCTGCACATGACGCGCCTTGCGCGGCAGGGTGTGGGTCGCGGAAATTTCTTTGCCTACCTGGGCTTTCCACAGACTCCGGAGCTCGACGCGGCGGAGGTGCAACGCGCGTACCACGATTTGCAGCGGCGCGTTCATCCTGACCAGGCCAACGTTCAGGCCAGAGAAGTGGAAGAGGGGCAAGAGCAGTCAAAAACGACACCCGCACCAGTTTTGGAGAGGGAGGAAATGGGGGCAGCAGGAGGCGTAGCGGATGTGGATGAGTCCATCTACGCCAATGCCTCCTACGAGACCCTGCGGGACCCTTTTTTGCGGTGCCGGTATTTGATGCGCTTGAGCCGCGCGGAGAAGGTGAAGGGCGCCCCATTGACAACGGCCGAAGAAGAGGCACTCATGCACGATGATGACCGCCGTAGTTTGGAGGAGAACCGAAAGCTCATGGGTGATGCAGTGGATATTGCGTCTCTTGGGTCGGACTTTCTTTCGGATTTAATGGCGGTTAACGAGACAATTTTCTCCACCGATTTGTCAAAGGAGGAAGGCGTGGCGAATCTGCGGCTCCTTGTTGCCGACCTGGAGGAACGGTACGAGGAGTTTTATGCCCAGGCAAAGGAATATTGGAAACAAAAGGATACTCGCCGGTTTTATCACAGCGTACTGAGGTGGACGTATGTTCGTAACGTTCTTAAGCATGCGAAGGATCGTCTTGACTGAAGAAGATGGAAGGGTTGGTATGTGAGTGCGTGTATATGTGTGTTTGTGTGTGTTTCCTTCCTCGTAGTTTAAACCACACTTTTATATCCCACACCACATGTGCATTTTGTGTGTCTCACCCCAAATAAAATAAATTTGTATAACATGTTCAACCGAATGATTATAGATGTTGCCGTTGGGTGGGCATGCGTCTTCTTGGTGTGTGTGGTTGATATTCCCTACTATGTATTTCTTTAGTTGTTGTTGTTGTTGGAGTGCGAGCGCGATTTATCCTTTTTTTACAATTTTTTTTTTTCTTGAATCTTCTAGCAGGCAACCCGTTCCCACTCTCCTTTACCTCCCCCCTATATGCGTATATATATATATATAGACACAAGTAGAGAAAGTTCACACATTATACACAGGCAGAGGAGCTGAGGGAGTGAGGAGGGGACAAAAGATGTCGCAGGCTGTTCAAACCATTACTTTTAAGGGGAGCGTTGCGATGGTCACAGAGTTTCTGGGATTTGCGATATACAGCATCTTGTACCAACGGGGGGTGTACCCACAGGAGGTCTTTGAGCAAGTCAAGAGGTATGGCATCCCATTGATGATCTCAACAGATAGCGACTTGAATGCCTACCTTGCGGAGCTGCTGCAGCAAGTAGCCATGTGGGTGACTGCCGATAAAGTCCGCAAGTTGGTCATGATAGTGGCGGACGGCGCAGAAAGCAATGTGGTGGTGGAGCGATGGGCTTTTGACATCTTGGCGGAGGACACAAAAGGCGTGATTGCCACGACAAGGACGGATGCTGAGCTTCAACGTGAAATTCAGGCGGTGATGCGGCAAATCACCGCCTCTGTGGCGTACCTGCCCCTGTTGCCGGAGGGTTGCGTTTTTGACCTTCTTGTGTACACCGAGATGGACGCGGAGTTGCCGTCCAACACGTGGGAACTGAGTGACCCACGCCTCATACCATGCAGCAGTGAGGTCAAGTTGCGCTCATTTACCACAAATTTCCATCGAGTGAACGCGTCTGTAACGTACCGAGAAGACGCGGCCTGACAAGAGAAAAATAGAAAGGGGTAGAAGGCGAAAGAGAGTGAAGGAGACGGATAGAATGAGAGAGTGAGTATGAGAGAGAAACTGTGCGTGGGTGTGTTTACGAATAGCGATGGATGCTCCTTGTACTTGCTCTCACGTTGTACTGCTATAAGAGAAGAACAGACGAGAGAGTGTTCCCTCCCCCCTCCTTCTTTTACTCATTCCTCATTTTCCCCACTTTCTCTTGCTCTCACGCCGTACGCTATTATCTTTTCTTTCTGCGTCTTTTGCACCCTCCACCTCTCTGATCACACACACATATACACGGCTGCTGCACATACAGCTGCTGCTACAGGAAGAGAAGCAGACGAGGGGAGGGGAAAAAGAGTAGTGGCACGTGGAAGTTACAAAGGAAAATTAAGGAAGCATCCGCCTAAACAACCGAAAATAAGTCCGGGAGTGGAGAGAGAAGGAACCACCAACATAAAAATAAAGAGGGGGAGGGAGATAGAAGTAAACAGGCATGGCGAAGGGTAAAAAGAAGGGGCCTGTTGATGTATTTGCCACTTTGGGATCCTCGGGCCGAATAGAGGTGGCGGGCGAGACTGAATCGACAGACATGCGCCCTGCGGAAATGCTGGACACAGCATTGGTCATCACACCTGCCATCCCACGCGTAGAAGTGAGCCTCAGCATTCAGTTCCGATGCACCGTCCCGATTGTTGAGGGGGACATGCTTCAGCTGTACCTGCCCGGATTTCGCGGCAAGGCCTCCCTCTTTACGCCTGAATTTTCACCCATACAGGCCACGAAGTCGTTGCGGCAGTTCCGTGGCTACTGGTCCGGTGAAGGGGCGAAAAAAGGGAAAGGCCCTGGGAAGCAGTTGCTGCTGCTCAAATGCGTTCATCGTGTAGAGGCACAACAGCTCGTGGCGATCGTCGTTCCACGCTCCCTGAGACTGATGTCCCCCGACAAACTGGCACAGAACTCGTCGAAAATCAAGATAAGTGGCGTGGTAAAGCATGCTGAGGGTGGCAGGATCCTGAAACAGGTATTCGTGTCTTCCACGGAGGTGAAAAAGAGACATGTGTTGGAGGAAATTAAGGATTACAAGTTACTTATCTCGGAGTTGGACAAAATTAGTGGATTAGAAGACGTTGACGCACATGTGGCGGAGGAACTTTCCATGGAGGAGGTGGATCATATATGGGAATCCACATATGAACGTTGTCCATACCCTATTGCGCTTCAGTGGCATATTGCCAACTCCGCCTTTCGCGATTATGAATCATTTGGACCGCTACTGAAGACGATTGTGGAAGGTGCCATCCATTCGGTCAAACGACGACACCAGTTACTGGGTCTCTACCGTGAGATTGCCACAAACCTGGGTGTAAAAGTAGGTGCGGTTATTATATTTCAGGATGTACTGAATATGCTTTACGGTTCATTGTATCCACATATCCCCGGTACAGTCCTGTTGGCCGTTCGCCTTTTTACCATGGAGCCTATTGACATTGCCCGTACATTCTTGATCAGTGAACCACCCCAGTTTTCGCTGGCACAGGAAATCTATAGCAGCTTTCGTACGGGCGATCCAGAGGGTCTAAAAAAGTGGGCCTTCACTGTGTCAACATTGCTGCTTATTGTCGGTACGCATGCAAACGACCCGGAATCTTCGGTGGATACGCCTATTTTGCCGTTGTACTACGCCATTAAGGAGGTCCCTCATGATGAACTTCAATACATACGGGAAATGCCTCCAAATGAGTGGTACGTATTTCCGTTTCTTGCTTTGGTACGTCCTAGAGTTGACTGGACAGATGAAGAGGCCTTCCCAATACCGGATAACGCGGTGTTGTTTGAGATCCATAATGCCGCGGATGGGTTGGATGTAAGTGACCTCTCGATGTACCCTTATGATCGGGAGTGGCTTTTGCCTCTCTTCTCATCCTTCCGCGTCAACCACGTCAAGGTGTATGATGACCGAAATAGTCTTACACATGTCGTTATGTATATGCATGGTTGTCTACATGGTTCAGTGAAAGAACCTATGATTCCCGAGGAGGACCGCGCCGTGACGGCCGTGATGGTGAGGAAACTTCGAACGGAGGCGGAAAAAATTATTTATCGTGCCCACCAAATTGCCGAGCATGCATATCTGAACGTCACCCTTAATGAGCGACTTCGGCTCCATCCACAGACACTCCTTCGGGCACAATATGTGGATCATTACTTTGAGGTGAAACGCTTTTCGCAGGCCAAAACGACCGTCGAGGAGGGACTTGTCAACTGGCAGGTCTGCACGACACCGGCACAGTTGATCGATCCTGTGGAAGGTGTCATTAAGCATGCGGTGTGGGAATTCATGCCACGTAAGTTTGCCCTTTTGGCAGAGCAGTACTTTCTTAGCAAAACACGCTTCAAGAAGGTGTTTGAAGCCCAAGGCATTTTGCTGGACTTTGCGGGATATGTATGCGACTACGGCGGGAAGGGACCACGACCGATGCGGCGACTTTTACGAAAACGTGTCACGCATGAGGCCCCGTTGCCTGTCTTTGAGGAGTTGCGTTCATGAAGGTGGAACCACACACACAAAAAAAAAAAAGGGAGAAAAAAAGAAAAAGGGGAGAAGACAAATAGACATGACTACTTCTTTTGTGTGTTTGTTGGGTTTTATATCGGATGTAAATTACAAAACAAGTTGAAATATGGAATTATCAGAAGGTTGGCGAGGAAAAAAAAATAAAATAAAATAAAAGTTAGAGGGGAAAAGAAAGAAGGAGAGAGGGAGAGAGAGAAGAGTAGAAGGAAGTCTTCACATTATGATGTGGACGAGATGACCCCCCACCCCCACCCCCCATTTGGATGTCTTCTTTTCAAAAGCTCATATTTATGTACTTTACATCATTACCACACTTTTTGACTTCTTGTCTTGTATGATGTGAGAACCCATTGGATTTTTGCGGTATTGGGTTCTCATCGCTCCTTCTTGTTCTACATGTGTTTGTCATGCATGACAGAAGTCTCTTTCTTTCTCTGTCACTCTCACTGAGAGGGAAACGAATACATACATAATTGGAAGAAGGGGAGGTTAAAGGACTAATTGTGTGGAAAGGAAGAGAGAGACTGTGTGTGCAGCTGCAAGATGTTGCGGCGGCACCTCGTATCCTTCCGACTTGGCATCGGCGTTGGTGTTGGCAGTAACAAAACCCTTTCATGTTCCACATCACTCTTTTACGCGCAGCGTGGGGTGTTTGCGGACAAGGCACGTGCCGGCATGATCATTGCGATCGACAAGCGTTACTATCGAGTTCTGGCCAACACACGCTCGCAGAAGGGGCAAAATGCCGCCTCTTTCAACATCAAACTTGTTGAAGTAGGTACGGGGCGCAAGAAGGAAGTGACGGCAGGACAGGGGCATGACTTTGCACAGGTGCGGGCGGAGCGGGTGCGACTCCTGTTTAGTGGGTTTGATGATGACGATATGGCATGTTTTGTGTACCCAGAGCACGCCTCAGATGCGGGAAAGGAAGTGAACATCCCTGGCGACTCTCTGCCAGATGTGCAGCAGAAGTTTCTTTGCTGTGGCATGCCTGTTGACATTCTACACATCATCCCTGACGATGAGGACTCGTCTGACGCAAAGGATATCTGGGCAGAGGTGGTGATGCCGTCTAGTTACAACTACACGGTCGAGAAGATTTCTTTAAAGGGGATGTACAAGATGGCGTCATTCAAGGAGTGTGATGGCGTTGTTAGCGTCAATGACTCTGTGCAGATAAACGACAAGGTGAAGGTGACAATCAAGCCAGACGGCACAGTAGCGTTTGGTGGTCGGGCATCCTGATAGGCGTGCTCGTGGCGTACATGCACAAATATTTACAAGGATTTATCCATTGGTGGGTAACAGTCGCAGGGAGGATTTCTGCACTCATGATGGATGTATGTATATATGTACAAGTACTTCTTTTTCCCTCTTTTTCTCTTATTTTATTTTATTTTGCAATATGGCTATATGAGGGTGTATTTAAACACACACACACAGACACAGACACACATATATATTTTTAAACACATACATATACCCTACACCATACAAGGAGAAGGCAGGCTATTATTATTATTAGTATTATTATTTTTTTTTTTTCACTTGGCAATGACAGCCAGTGCCACGAGTGCGGATATACCTGTAACTCGGTTGCCGCCTTACTTCCCTACCAGTCTTAAGGAATGCACAGCATCGACAGACCTCTTTTTCTCCTGCTTTGAGCAGAATGCTCTAATGAAAACCCCAACCGACACAACAAGTGCCAAACGGGCACTGCTGCAATGCCAGTCGGAGCTGCGCGCATACATGACATGCATGGAAAAACACCTTGGCGACGGCAAAAGATCGTGGTGGAAGTTCTGGTAGCCTCACCACCACCACCACCACCGTCAACAAAGACGGCGATGACATGGAAGAGCAAAAGAATAAAGAGAGAGTGGGAAAGCAAAAACAAAGAAGAAAAGAAGAAGGGTAAGTGAAAGTCTTCTACACATGTGACGCACTGCCTGATATGGCGTCTGTTGTCCTCACCCCTCCCCAATGCCAGAAGTTACTCACATTTCTCTCATATGAAGGAGCGCGGTGCTGTCCTTGCCGACCCAGCACTCACAGAGACATGTAAACTGCTATAACGCCACAACATCCATTGTTTTCGCATTTTTTTCTTCCCTTCACAAACATGATTTATTGCCAAAAGTACACACAAAGCAAAACAAAATAGTGGGTAAATAAAGCGCAGAAATGGAATTTGGCGAGGGCACGGCAATGGCTGCCGATCACCACGACAGTCAGGCAGCATTCCCACTGGCAGAGGAATATGTCGTGGAGCCGACGACCACGGAGGAGATGCACGAGCTACTTGACATGATTGTTAGCGCCTGTGACCATCTGCAGGGTTTGATACGCGATCGCCTTCCTGTCACGCAGAGGGAGGTGTCGAAGCTTCGGAAGGCCTACTGGCTTGCAACGGGCGAGACGGAGAGGCTGCGCAGCCGCAGTGGGTCGAAAAGCTCCATATTTGGCAACGCTGACTGTGGCAGTGCAGGCATTCAACCCCTGCACCCCGGCGTGGAGGGCCGCAGGCGGCAGGACGGGAAGATCCTCGCGTGTGACTGCGCGCTACGACAGCTCGAGGAGTACGTGGGTCCGAGGCCCGAGGCGCATACGTTTGACCACGACGATGATTCGGGGAATGAGGGCGAGAGGAGCAGAATGCGGCGCTTTTTTTGCGTTCCGGTCGAGCGCCGCCTCCAAACGCTTTTGGTTTCGGCGTTTCTGTTCTTTACACTTATTCCTGTTTCCCTTGCGCTCACGGTGGCGCTGCTGCTGAATTGGTGGACCATGCCGTTCATGGTGGCGTACCTCGTGCACATCTTTACCTTTGGACAGCCCAGGCATCCGTTGAGGAAGCATACCGCCTTTACACGACTGAAGATATGGCGCCACTACGGCGCCTACTTCCCCGTGCGCCTTGTGATTCCTTGCCGCGTGCGTGAAAAGTTTGAGCCCCAAAAGAACTATTTTTTTGTTTACCACCCGCATGGCATACATGGGTTTGGTGCGATAGCGAATTTCACCCTCGACGCGACGGTGAGCTCACTTCTTCCGGGCATAATTATCCACGCGCAAACGCTCAAGCTCAACTTCTACATTCCTTTTTGGCGCGAGCTGCAGCGTCTTTGCGGCAACGGGGACGCCAGTGAGGACTGCATCCGCCGCACGCTGAGGTCTGGGCCCGGCGAGAGTGTTTTGCTGGTTGTTGGGGGTGCGAAGGAGAGTCTCCTGGCGAGCCCGCGAACCAACGAGCTCAGCCTGCAGAGCCGGAGGGGATTTGTGAGAATTGCACTGCAGGAGGGCTCCCCGCTTGTTCCTGTGTATGCGTTTGGAGAAAATGACGTTTACCGGATTCCCCGTGCGGCGGGCTCCAGGTGGTGGAGACGCGTGAATGCGATCCTCCGCAAGGTTTTGTCCTTTGGTTTCCCCCTGTTTGTTGGTCGTGGCTGGTTCAATTACTGCTTTGGTGTCCTGCCTCACCGCCGCCCGATTTATGTGGTGGTTGGGGAGCCGTTGCCGGTGCCAAAGATCCCCCAACCGACGCCGGAGGACCTGCAGGAGTGGCACGACAAGTATGTGGCGGCACTCAAGCGGCTTTTTGATGGGTATCGTGCCGTCTACGACGTGGAATCCAGCGGCCTGCATATTCACTAACGTTTGAAGTGGTGGCTTCGAGGAGTGTCTTCTATTTTCGGTGTATATTCGTGTGACGTTTTGGAGCTGTTTTTTGTTGGGTGTGAGTCTGGTCTGTGTTGTGTGTGGCATCCTGTTTCGAGGTGGATATTTTTTGGGGGGAGGGGAGGGTGTGTGCGTAATTGTTGGGTTGCCATGAGGCAAGTGAACAAATTGGGGGCTCTTTTTTCAGATTTTTTATTATTTGCGATTTATGAGAAAAACGGAGGTAGAACAGCAATATTTTTGGTGCAGTGGATGAGGGTTTGGATAGGAGCAGATAGTTCGGTTTGGGGATAAAGAAGGGTTGTGTCACTTCATGTGTTGCTTAACCGGGGCGCCACGCTTTTTGTGCGTCTCTGCAGAAACTGAAAGGAAGTGGGGAAGTGTGAGGAGGCAAATTGTTTGATCTCAGTGTTTACCACGGTTGGGGCGGTTTAGAGAGCCACGGTGTCGACGCCACAGACACTTCTTACTGCGAGTCCCTTCCCTCCACCCACCACTTTATTTTTTTTTTCCACGTACGTGTACATATATATATTCTTGCTTTTGCGTTGTGGTGTCGGCTGCGTATTGTCTTTTTAATGCGTTGCTTGTGTCTCGCCGACAGATATGTGGCCCATCTTTTCTTCACGGACGCGCTGCCTCTTTCGTTCTCTGTTTGCTTTTTCCCTCTTGAATCCTGTGGAGGGAGGGAGGCCAATTCTTATATAGGGACCATACATAGTTACATATACGTCCACTGTGGGGAGTTGTAAGCAGGGGTAAGGCGGGTATTGGTGGTCGTGGGTGGCAGGAGAGATGTACGCTCGCTTTCGCACACGCTCCAAGTTCTACAAGCGTCCTGAACGGGTGCTTCGCGCGTATAATGTCAGTCCAAACATTTTACGCCGCCCAAATGTCAAGCCGGGCCTTATCAGAGGTGTTTACAGCGACGAAAAAGTTGACTTGCGGGATCGCGAGCGGCTGGAGCTGCTGGAGTCGATTCGTCATCCCAGAGAACGTGATTTTTATCAGGACCACACGTACCACAACCAGTGGATTCGCCGAGACCTGGAAAAACATCAGAAGATGCAGCTTTCTTCACGGTACCGCTACTTTGCTCCGGATTACGTCATCACACCGTGGATCTGGTACCCGGGTGATGTGGTGGAGGTAGTGAGCGGCGAAGGCATAGGGCAGCGCGGTGCGATCATTGCCGTGGTGAAGTACAAAAATGAGATCATCGTGCAGAATATTAACGTGCAGGACGTTGTGATCCCTGCGTCAGAAACGCGGCCGGAGCAGGTGTTGCAGCGGGAACACCCGATCAGCGTTACGCGGGTGCGACACGTTGACCCGTCAACAAATGAGCTGTGTAACCTGGATCTGGTGAAGGTGCGCAACAAGGAAACGGGTGCGCTGGAGGAAAAGCGCATGAGCCTCGAGACGGGGGTATTGCTACCAATTCCCCCGCTCGACAGCGGCATGGAGGTGGGCGACCCCTTGAAGGACACGCCAATCCAGGACGCGGACGAGGCAACATATGACCGTGAGGCGGAGATGGCGGTGTTGGTACAGCGGCGCCTCCACGCCATGGAAGAATACTTTGTGCGCAGCCTGCGGAAGTCGTACGAGTTCCACGAACCGCTGCGCACGAAGAACGCGGAGGACCTGAAGGCGTTCCAGTCAGACGTGGTAGATGCGGCGTCGACGGCTCTGGCGGAGAAGCTACTTGCAGTCGATGGGACGACGCCTTCCACGTGGTGGAAGGATGCCCTGGCGCCGTATGTGGAGAGTATCGAGGCGGAAATGCGCGCCAGGGCCGAGGAAGAAGAGGCAGAAGCGGCGGTAGCGGAAGGCGAGACGTTAGCGACACAAGTGGCGGAGGAAGACGAGTTCTTGGATGAGGAGGAGGATGAAATAAACATGGAAAAGGATGCGTCGTCCTTGTAAGGCAGAAAGGAATGGAAGGAGTCAGGTAGAAATCAACCAATAGAATAAGCCCGGTTTGTGTGCCACACTGTCACGTGTGCTGCTTGTGCCGTCTTCTTTCAACACTTCACCTTTTCTCATTATTATTTCTAGCTTGATGCAAAGCAAAGGCGGGGAGTTACGGCGGTATATTGGTGAAGGAATGGCGGCCAAGGAAAAAAGGAAAACGCAGAAATGGAATTTGGCGAGGGCACGGCAATGGCTGCCGATCACCACGACAGTCAGGCAGCATTCCCACTGGCAGAGGAATATGTCGTGGAGCCGACGACCACGGAGGAGATGCACGAGCTACTTGACATGATTGTTAGCGCCTGTGACCATCTGCAGGGTTTGATACGCGATCGCCTTCCTGTCACGCAGAGGGAGGTGTCGAAGCTTCGGAAGGCCTACTGGCTTGCAACGGGCGAGACGGAGAGGCTGCGCAGCCGCAGTGGGTCGAAAAGCTCCATATTTGGCAACGCTGACTGTGGCAGTGCAGGCATTCAACCCCTGCACCCCGGCGTGGAGGGCCGCAGGCGGCAGGACGGGAAGATCCTCGCGTGTGACTGCGCGCTACGACAGCTCGAGGAGTACGTGGGTCCGAGGCCCGAGGCGCATACGTTTGACCACGACGATGATTCGGGGAATGAGGGCGAGAGGAGCAGAATGCGGCGCTTTTTTTGCGTTCCGGTCGAGCGCCGCCTCCAAACGCTTTTGGTTTCGGCGTTTCTGTTCTTTACACTTATTCCTGTTTCCCTTGCGCTCACGGTGGCGCTGCTGCTGAATTGGTGGACCATGCCGTTCATGGTGGCGTACCTCGTGCACATCTTTACCTTTGGACAGCCCAGGCATCCGTTGAGGAAGCATACCGCCTTTACACGACTGAAGATATGGCGCCACTACGGCGCCTACTTCCCCGTGCGCCTTGTGATTCCTTGCCGCGTGCGTGAAAAGTTTGAGCCCCAAAAGAACTATTTTTTGTTTACCACCCGCATGGCATACATGGGTTTGGTGCGATAGCGAATTTCACCCTCGACGCGACGGTGAGCTCACTTCTTCCGGGCATAATTATCCACGCGCAAACGCTCAAGCTCAACTTCTACATTCCTTTTTGGCGCGAGCTGCAGCGTCTTTGCGGCAACGGGGACGCCAGTGAGGACTGCATCCGCCGCACGCTGAGGTCTGGGCCCGGCGAGAGTGTTTTGCTGGTTGTTGGGGGTGCGAAGGAGAGTCTCCTGGCGAGCCCGCGAACCAACGAGCTCAGCCTGCAGAGCCGGAGGGGATTTGTGAGAATTGCACTGCAGGAGGGCTCCCCGCTTGTTCCTGTGTATGCGTTTGGAGAAAATGACGTTTACCGGATTCCCCGTGCGGCGGGCTCCAGGTGGTGGAGACGCGTGAATGCGATCCTCCGCAAGGTTTTGTCCTTTGGTTTCCCCCTGTTTGTTGGTCGTGGCTGGTTCAATTACTGCTTTGGTGTCCTGCCTCACCGCCGCCCGATTTATGTGGTGGTTGGGGAGCCGTTGCCGGTGCCAAAGATCCCCCAACCGACGCCGGAGGACCTGCAGGAGTGGCACGACAAGTATGTGGCGGCACTCAAGCGGCTTTTTGATGGGTATCGTGCCGTCTACGACGTGGAATCCAGCGGCCTGCATATTCACTAACGTTTGAAGTGGTGGCTTCGAGGAGTGTCTTCTATTTTCGGTGTATATTCGTGTGTCTGTTTGTGTATGGTGTGGGAAGAGGGTTGTAGATGCTTGTCTTTATGCGCACGCGTCTGATTTTTTTTTTTTTTTCGATTTTTTACACGTGATGTGTTTATTCATTGTACATTATACAAATTGTTTTCCCCAGATATGCGTGGGCGGAATTGTAGTGGGATGTTTTATTCACATTCATGTTATGTAGAATTGAATGGAATGAGGGTGCTTAGGCCTCATTTGAGTGTTTGCTCTTTTTTCTCTTGTTTGATGTTTTTTTGTTTTGTTTGGTTGGTTCTGACTTTTACTTCCGTGTGACCACATATATATATATATCAATGGTGTGTGTGTGTGTGTGTGTGTGTACAGTTACAGATACATACATTGCGACAGGGAATAAGGAAGGGAAAGAGTGGGGAAAAAAAAAAAAACGGTAAAGCTGGGCGTAACGAAGGAAAAATGGTGCTTATGTCAACCTACCGTAACAGCAGGTTTGTTTCAAAGGACTTCCTGCACGGCCCTGTTATGCGTTTTCGCGCTCTTGGGGAGTACTACTTTCAACGTGCGTGGAACGGCACGCTGAACTGGACCCTTCCTGGGGAGTACCGGTTGTATGCCGTGATGATCCCTTTTATTTACTTTTACCACCGCTGGCATCAGGAGCACAAACTTGACATTGACCACGTGGAGAAGGCAATGATCATGCGGTGGGGTGGCACACTGGAGGAGGTGCGTAAACTATCGGCGAAGGACCAGCTGCGGGTGCGCTGCTTTACTGACATAGAGAAACTCTACTCGGCGTATGGTCCGAAGGACGTCAATGTGCAGCCGGAGGGCGACAGTCTGCCCGGAAAAGATTTGTACAAGAAGGCCGGTGAAGGACATCACCACTGAGAACGTTTATTTTATGATGTTAACATTATTACTATGATCACTTTTTCTCCGTCTTATTTTTATCATTATTTTTATTTCCATGGGTTACTGTTTGCCTGTGCACTGTTGTGTGGGATACAAGAGGGAATAGCAAGAAAAGGGGGAGATAAAGTGATGAAGAAAAGGGAGAGAGAGCAAAGGATGGATCAGTGTATTGCCAGTGAAGAGGGAAATGTTTAGCGGAATAGTAACTATTTGACTATGCACATGTCTGCATGTGTAATGACAGAGACGGGGTGAATGCGGAGCAGCCAAACTCATTCTGGCAATATTTTGGTATCCACACGCGTGCATCCTGCTGATAAAAAGGAGTTTATTCCATCATATGATGTTTGGGTTGGGTAGGGGAGTTTCAATTGCACTGAATTGAAGTATATGGTTCTGCAATGACGTCTTTCTTTCCTTTTCTCTCTTTCCCCATCCCTCATGCACAAAACATTGGGTAATGAACGATGTATTGACAGCTGCAGCCTTCATAATTCGCACATTTCTATACGACACACACACACACACACCGAAAATAACAGCAACAACAACGAGGGATTAGCTTGTGCGATTATTATTATTATTATTATTAGTTTAAAAATTTGTTGTTGTGTGACTGTGTGTGTGTGTGGAGGGGGGTGAAAGGGGTGCTTTGATTTCTAAAAGGGAAATGGCACAAATGATGGGAACACTTGTGCTTCCGCCATTTGTCGCTGCGGCCATCGTTGAACACGCAAAGCGACGTCGCAACTCCGCCGGGTATCTTGTAGGGAGCCGCAGCGGCAATCAGATCACCGTCACGGACTACATCCCTTGCACACATGAGTCAACGAGCGATGTTCGCACGCGGGCCTACGCGGAGGAACTCAAAGAGCGTGTTTCGCTGAAGAAGTGCTACACTCCGAGCATCACACTCGTCGGTTGGTATGCAGCTGCAACGCCGGAGCCGGGGAAGGAGCGGGCCTTTGATCTCTGGTGCCAGGCACCCGGCGCGAGTTTTTCAAAAATCCGCTCGCACAATCAAGCCGTCATGTTGCTTGGGCGTATGCCGACCGCGGCGGACCTCGGCATCCGCTGGGAGGCGTACATTACAAGCAACATGAACGACGGGGACTCCCTTCAGTGTGAGCGGATGCAGCAACTAACCGTCTCCATCGAGGCGGAAACGCCTTCGATGAATGTGCTTCTGGCCGAGATGATTTCGAAGACCCTCTACAACGGCAGCATGCCGTACCCCACGAACCGCATCACTAATCTTGACCGCGTCGCGTTAGAGGCGGAGAGCAGAGAGACGGAGTTTGGCAGAAAAGACAACAGTCGAAACGACGCCGAGCCGCGGCCGGTGGAGGCCGCACTACTCAACGTGCAGAACAAACTCCACCAGGCCATCTCACACGCCCGCGCCATCCTCGTGGCGGGAAATAAAAACAAAAGTGAGAGACAAAATGAGAGCGCCGCTGTCGTGGAGAACTACGAGACCATTCTGGCGGAAAAAAGTCAACAGAGTAGCCGCGATGACTTCATCACGGAAAGCTATAAAGATGCGCTTATGATAAAATACACCGCGGCCCTCCTTCGTCGTCATGTGATGGAAATTGAACGCCATGGACGTCAGGAATTGAAGGAAAAGACGCAACACGGCCACGGTCACGGCCAAAACAACACTTCCAGTCCACGTGGTCCACGCAAACTCGGTGCATTTCGATAAACAACAATTGTCCGCGATAAACAGGATGGTGGAGAAGGGAGGTGAAAATGAGGAGAAAAGAAAAGAGGGATATGTTGGAGGGGTAGCGTGCGCGGTTTCTATTATTATTATTATTATTCCCTCCGCGTTCTTTACATGTCCATCCGTTTCTTACTTTCTCCACTTTTTTTTTTGTGTGTGTGTCTTCACTCTCTCTGTCTGCATCTCCCCTGCATCATTGCGTGTAGCCCGGTGAGGGCGTGAAGGAAATGGCATCGATTAGGGTCCAGGTGTTGTGTGGGTGTTTGTATTGGAAGCGGCGTGTCTGTTTGTCTCGTGAGGTGTTAACCGCGTGGCCCCGCCTCTTTTCCTCCTCATGTATTCTTCTCTGCACATACACGCACGCACTCATTTCCTTTGCAGCATTTATTATTATTGTTCTTGTTGGCGCGGGTGAAGTCTATCCGAATGCGTCTTTGTTTCCATTTGTGTGTAGGTGTGGAGCCGCTTATTTATTTCTTAAAAGTTAAGAATAGCGGTAGGGGAGAAAATGAAGGGTGGAGAAGCATGTGCGTTGAGGAGCAAAGAGGAGAAGCGGGGGCGGGGGAAAGGGAACGAATAATAATGATAATAATAAAGAAAAAGGAAGCCGTTTTCACCGCCAGAATAAAAACAAAGAGAGAATAGATATATATATCTAAAGAAAAAACATTTTATGCGCTCTCGTTCTTTTTCTTTCTCTCTCCCACTTGCTTTCTGCATATGTGTTGCATTATTATTTTGTTTTTCCTTGTGATGATATCTGACGCGTACGCTTTGCATGTGTGACGTTTTTTTTTTTACCTTTTTTATTATTCCCTGTTGCGGCATGGGCTCTCATTGCATACATATATGTGTGTGGACCCAGAGAATAAGAGGAAAGAGCGAAAAATGCCGATTTTTGAACGTGTGCTGCGCCACACGGAGCCTGAGGCGTCGCATGAGAGTCTTAGACTTGAGTGGGCTTTTGGCCTGCACAAGGACTTTCGGTCCGTTATTCACAATCTCAGTACTTCCCCGTCAGAGCGTGTGGTGTTCTACACGATTGGGCACATTGGTGTCATCTACGATGCAGTTCAGAATACCCAACGCCACTTGATGGGCCACCGCAACATGATCATTGCATCCGCATGCAGTCGTAACCGACGGTTTGTTGTGACAGCGGATAGCGGCTCCGGTCAGGCAAATTCATCCTCTTTTAGCAAAGACTCGATTGTCCAAAGCAGCATTCAACAACAGGGATCGACTGGCGTTGAGAGGATCGAGCAGCAGGAGGAGCGTGACGTTGAGTATGACAGTTCTCTGATGATCATCTGGGAAACACAAACGGGCACGCCTGTACGTACGATACCTACCGGTCTATACGGTGGAGTGGTGGCGTGTGCGATGAGCCTCGATGGCATGTACATTGCAACACTGAATCGACGCATCCCGCAGGAGATTATGCTCTGGGGGTGGACGGCAGAAAACGAGGTGGATGATGAGCATAGTGTCACCGATACCCTTATAGAAGATCTTGCGTTAGCTAGCAACATTATACCGGAATACCGTCAATTGATTCCTGCACAAGATGAGCAAACGTCTATTCGCTTCTCCGAAGATGATTCGCACCTTATTGTGACGAATGGATTACGTCGTGTACTTTTCTGGTCCTGGGCAGAACGCGAATTGAAGTACTACTCTCCACCGATTCTTGCAAAGAATCTGAAGGTGGCGGTGGGAAACTTCACACAGACGATGTTTGTTCCCGGGACAAGTATGGCATGCAGCGGGACGGTTGATGGCGATGTGATTCTGTGGGAGGTGCAGCCACGTGATCGTGTCACCAAGGAGCAGGACAAGACGATGCTTAAAATGGTGCGGATCCACTCAACCGGTGTCTCGTTTCTGACATGGACAAGTGGTTACATTGTCACGGGTGGCATTGACGGGCACGTCAAATTCCTCGACCCGAAATTGCGTCTTGTTGCGTGGTTTGAGGACCTCAACGGTGGGGCCGTGACATCCATAAGTTTTGACCGGCCTCCATTTATTGCCCTGCAAGCGATGGATGAACTGCGAAGAGAGTTTAAGGCAACAACGCAGAAAAAGGCAGCACTTGTAGGGACAACTGCCGTGGGGGAATTTTCGGCTCCCGATTTTATGATCTCTACCGCCCACGCCATGATCATTGACGTGGCGAGTAAAGCCTTTCATACGGGCAACGCTGAGCTGTTGCGCGGCAAACTCATTGTACAGGGACAGGAAAAAGGCATTCACTGCATTGCCGCCCATCCGAAGCTTCCACAGCTTGCAATTGCAGGGCATAGTGGTGATGTGCATATATGGGACTATAACTCGAAACGAGTGTTGCTGCTCAGTATTTTTCAGGGATCACACATCAATTGCATGGCGTATGATCCACAAGGGGTCTACCTTGCCATTGGCTGCACAAACGGCCTTGTGAAATTTCTCGACGCGACCACACTGGAGGAGCGTAAATCCATTAAACCCAAACGAACCGACTGTGTCACGCGTATGGCCTTTTCAGACGCTGGGAATCGACTGGCCACGGGAGACTCAGCAGGCTGTGTTAGTCTCTATGAATTTGATCACCCGCAAGGCAACACAAAGAAGCCAATGGAGTGGGATATCGTGGGTCGCCACAAGACACATCGGGCGGCCATTTCTGGACTCCAGTTTGGTGACGACGGTGGTTTACAACGTCTTCTCTCTGTGGGGGAGGACAAACGGCTGGTAGAATACGATCTGATTGACTCAGAGCCAGAGTCTGGTTTGCTTGTGCAAACGGCGCATAAAATTACACAGGGGTCTTCTCCCACAGGGTTCTTGTGGGTGAGAGAAAATGGGCTTGTTTCAGACATGAGACGCCGCATGCAAGCGAATAAAGACGCGCCAGATGATCTTCTTCTTGTGGCAACAAGCGACTACAAAATGACGGTGTTTTTAAGTGATTGGAGTCGCCAGTGCATTAAATCTGTGCTCTCCCCAACCTTTGGGGGTCCCGTGTCGGAGATGTTTACAGTTCCCTCGCTGCCAGGGAGTGAAAAACGATGTTTATTCTATGCGACACGGGAGAAGGTAATTGGACTTGTAAAGCTGCCACTTCTGGGCGACCCATGTATGTCAACTGGTGTTGTGGCCCATCCAGGCAACATCACCAGTGTTGCAAGATCTTATGACGGCGCTTTCGTTTTCACCGCTGGCGGGGATGACCAGTCGGTGATGCAATGGCGTGTGAATGGTGAAGGAATTGCTCCCCCCAACGAAATTGCGCTGGCGGAAAGCGCATTCATTGAGGGGGGTGATGAGGTTCCACTGGATCACCTTATAGCCGCCGTCGAAGGCGGACGAGAGGGACAATTTATGCGTGAGATTGTGGACTATTTTTACTACGCCCAAATTCGGCTTCAAGGTGAGGAAACAACCGCGAAGCGTGAGTTGTTGGGGGCTGTTCCCTTCTCTCAGCTCCCCAATCTCTTTCGGGCGCTCGGCTACTACCCATCCGAGCTAGAAATTGGTCGCCTGACGTACGAGGTAGCGAACATTTACGGCCCTTTAGAGGAATTGGTTGAAGAGTGTGATGTGGGGAAAATTCCACTCAAGTTCTCGCAGTTTATGCGTTTGTATGTCAACTACCGTCCTATTTATGGCATTACCCGCCAAGATATTGAGTCTGCCTTCTGGGCGCTCGGTGCGGACGCGGAAACAGGCCAAATTGCGCGGGATGTACTTTTTAAGTTGCTAGCTACGCATGGCGAACCGTTGCAGCAGGAGGAAATTTCTGCGGCACTGCGATCGCTGCTGGGCGAGGGGGTACGGCTTGACATGCTTGAAGACACCATCACTGCCCGCGCCTTTGCGGAGAATCTTCTAGGATTTGAAGACTACGAGACTGTGGGCGCGGAAGCGAAGGTGCCAGAGGAATTGCAGGGCAATAACGATGATGAACTGTTCTTGGATGAGTGAGCACGGCATTCCTTTCTCGTTTTGTTTGTTTGTTTCATTCTGACGATGAGGGCTCTTAGGAAGGACGAATTCTTTACTTTTTTTTTTTCTTTCGTTCTTTCCCACTCGACGCATCTGTTTAAACCGACGGAGGGACTAAGAGGACGAAAGAAAAGAGATGGAGCCTCGCCGTATTTCTTTCTTTCTCTCTCTCTCTCTGTGTGTGTGTGTGTGTGTCTTCCACTTTCTTTCTCTTGTGCAGCAGAGAAGTGAATGATGCGGATGAGGGGTTTTCGTGGTGGTGGTGGTGGTGGCGGGCGACACTCAACGGGGACGAAACAACAACAACAGACGAGAGAAACGAAGAAACAAAATTGATGTAAATTACATTTGAATTTTTTAGATGCGGTTTTGTGTGATTTTGTGTGCCTCAGAGAAAAAGAAAGAAAGAGAGAAAGAGATGGCACGATTATGAATTCGGCAACATGCATACATCTGTCTCTGGTTTGTGTGATGTAGTGATCTGGGCAGCGGTATTTGCCGCAGTGGTTTTATGTATTGGGCGTCATTGGATGTTTATTTTTTATTTATTATTATTATTATTATTTTGTACTTCTTTTCTCTTTCTCTTTCTAATCTTGTCTGCGTCTCCGCTTAATTACATTGCAGAGGAAACAGCAGGCAATATTTATCACCGTTTCTCCGCTTTGCGTCACAACTGGCCTTTGACAGCCAACGCTCCTTTCATTGCACGTATAGATAGATATATACGCACACACACACACACACACACAGAGAGAGAGAAAGAGAAAGAGAGGGATTTTTCCCCCCTCCTTTCCTCTTAACAGGTTTATTTGTTTGTTGTTGTATTGACTTTTTGGTTGCCAGTAGTGTTTTTTTGTTTGTTTGTTTGTTTCTCTTATTATTTGTGAATGACATCGTCTTTGCTTCCCTTTACCAACGTAAAGGTGCTACTGCACGTACGTGAGAGTATTTTTGGGGATGATGGCGATCTCACGAAGCATTACGCAAAGAAAGCCCTTCGTAAGCTCGGTGCCTCTTTGACACTATCGGAAGTTACGGCGGATTTAATTGTGTTTCACTGCGGTAGTGAATCGCTCCTTGAGAATGCAACAGCGCATGGAAAGACGATAGTTACGCCGGCGTATCTGCAAGAGTGTGTAAAACGCATGGAGCGGCTGCCAGTTGAAGGCTTTCTCGTCCGTCCACGCATGGCCCCAGCGCAAAGGAAGGAGGCCAAAAAGACGGGGTGCATCGGGGGCGGTCCACAGGAGGAGCGGCCGACATTCATGACGTCCACGGGACTGTCAACTATCCCTTACCTTGATGACGTGGCGGAGGCGGAGGTTGAGAAGGATGGGGCCTCCCGTGTAAAAGGCTCCGAGAGGCAAGACGGAGCCACCGCAAGACCGACGGCCGTGTCTTCTGTTATTGATTACGATGATGATGCAGATAGCATGGAATTAGTGGTACGTGAAAACAGTTTCAGCAGCGCAGGAAGACGTAGGGAGATGCCGTTACAGCCAGACGATTGCAACAGCAGTGGTAGCCCCCTCGTCCATGTGAGCGCATCAACCACACCCTTCAAGGAAGCGGTGAAAAGCACGCATAGAGGCATAATGCAAAGTACCAGCAGCAAAGAAGTAAATCTCGGCGTGGATAGTACGAAGGATCCCTCGGCCCTGCCTTGCATGGGCGCACGAAGGAAGGCTTTGGGTGGCACGATGCCTGCTGGAAGGGCCGCCGTGTCATCATCATCATCATTACCCACGGCGACTGTTAGGAGACGTGCGACGAATTCAACGGAAGAAATACCGGCAGTGCAGCGAAAACGTGACCGGTGTTTCACAGATAGTGCTAGCGACGGGCACGTGACTGGGGCACCGAGTAAAAAGAGGAACAAGGCGCAGGAGCGAAAGACAGAGTCCGGGACACATGAAGAGGGGGCGACACAGCTCACGATGGCCTTCACGGATACTTGCCTCATCACTCCATTGTTTGCTTCGGAGCCGGTTGCGAAGTGCAGCACCCGTCATGGTGTGACGCACCTCCGTCCTCCCACGTCGCCCCCACAGCTCCGTGTTGCAGTGGCTGGGGATGATGATGACGGTATTCAGTTTCTATGCGATATTGTTGAGCAGCTGGGCGGCGTCTGTGTACCACGTGTGTTTGGTCGTGTGAGGAAGCCGACGCAACTTGTTTTGGAAGGACGTGGGGAGTTAACACCGATGGTGCTGCTTGCCAAGGCGCTGGGTATTCCTGTACTGACACCGCAGTGGCTCTACGATGCCATTGGCTTGGGGGCATTCCCAAAGATTATCCGTGCGCATCTGCATCCCATTTACTCCACTCATGTCACCAACAGTGACGATGCCAATTGTAGCGGCGGTGGGAGTGGTAAAGAAGAAAATGATGGGAAGGGAGGAAGATCTGGTGCTATACCAATGCATTCCCTGCGGAAGGATGCGGGCGTTGAAAAGGGCCTTGTCGGTCTCTTTGAACATGACGTTGGCCCCTATTACAAGCCTATCTTTCTTGGGATGGTGGTTGCCCTTGTCAGCCACTCGCCCCTTGCCCACGCTGATCAATTCATGGAGCTGGTGCGCATTTTGGGTGGATTTGTCTCACGCAGCGCGTTGAGTCTAAATCTGTCCGTCATTGTTGATCTTAGATGTGGTGCCGCCGCCTCGGACGCTCAGGCACGAAAGGAGGAGCAAGAAGATGTGGGAATAGCCGCGGAAGTCAAAGGACGAAAACCGCGGCGAAGGGCTTTGCGCCGTGCGAAAGCGGGGTCCGCATCTGAGACGCAGTCGAACCCCATGACATACCGAGCTGCGTTGAGTGACGGCCGCAATGCGTCACGGCATGACTCGCATGATGTTCTGCAGCGTCTCTTGGCGCAGCGGCGTCAACACAATTTGCCTGCTGTCCCTGTTGTGTCAGTGGAGTGGATCATTCAATGCATCCTTCTTGGCGAGGTCACCGAGACAGCCCCGTTTGAAGTGGCAGTGAACGGAAGGGAACGAGTCGGTGGGGTGGAGACGGACCATTCGATTGAGAAGAAGCACACGGAGGAAAACTACGTCATCGCCATGACACCACCGAGACAGACAATGTGGATTGAGAGTGACCAGAGGAGCGAGACGGCCCGCAGTCACGTCACGATCCCGCGACAACCGCATGTTGTTACCAGCCCGTTCGCAAAGACGTCTGAGGGGCCGAGTAGCGCTATGAAGCGTGCAGAACAGCAGTTAAGCACACAGCAACTGCTGCTCTCATTGGACAGTGAGGATGAGTGAAGCCGCTGGTAGCGTTATTATTATTATTGTTATTGTTATTATGGTGGCGGCGGTACTCTTGCTCTCTCTATCTCTCTCTCTTTTTCTTTTTTTTTTTTATTCTTCTGTGGCTGAGGGCGGCTGTTTTTTTTTTTTTTTTTTTTTTTTTTTTGCCTTACGTTGCCGACGAGAGGAGGAACAAAAACAACAACAAAAAACAAAAAGAAGGGGAATTTGCACTCGACCTATTGCATTTCCTTTTCACCTCTGTTTCTGCCTACTCTTCCCTGTATTGTTGTTGTTTTCCTTCTTTGTGTGTTATTTCTCTCTCTCTCTCTCTGTCTCTCTCTGAAGTGAAAGAAGAGGCCTTTTTCTTTTTTGTAGTTTTTTTTTTTTCCTTTCTCTTTTTAGTATATATGCCGGAGGAGGTGGGTAGCGTCACCGAACATGGTGCGCCCAGCCATTCGCTGGCACGTAGACTACGTCAGATGAATATTGCAGAAGGCCGGTTTCTTATTTCGCAACGTATCGGCAGTGGTGCTTTTGGTGAGTTGTTCCAGGGCCTTGACATTCGTACCAACTCGAGGGTAGCGGTGAAATTTGAGAAACGACAAATCGCGTACCCGCAGTTGTCGTATGAGAATAAGGTGTACCGTGTGCTGCATAATGGCCAATACGACACCATTGGGATTCCGCGTGTACATTACTTTGGTGTAGAGGGTGAATACGGTGTGCTCGTGATGGACCTTTGCGGCCCGTCACTGGAAGACCTCTTTAACTACTGTGGCCGTAGATTTTCTGTGAAGACTGTATGTATGCTGGCGGATCAGATGCTACAGCGAATCGAGTTCCTGCATGGAAAAGGTTTTATTCATCGAGACCTTAAACCAGAGAACTTTGTGCTTGGTACTGGAAGGCGGGGGCACGTTCTTCACCTCATCGACTTTGGTCTAAGCAAATTGTACTGGAACAAGCGGAAACAGCTGCATATTCCATTCTGTGAAGGGAAGACGCTAACAGGTACCGCACGGTACTGTAGTACCTGGACCCATCGCGGGTTTGAGCAGAGCCGCCGTGATGATCTTGAGTCGATTGGCTTCATTCTTGTGTACTTCCTCGTTGGGTCACTTCCATGGCAGGGAATTACGGTGCGGGACGTCCAGCAGAAAACCGCCCGTATCGGGGAGAAGAAGTTGGATACATCACTGGAGAGCCTCTGCAGTGGACTTCCCGGGGAGATCCTGCAGTACTGTTCCTACTGCCGGGAATTGCGGTTTACAGACACTCCGGATTATAATTATATGCGGGAGTTATTTTTGACGCTTGCGAAGCGGCGTGGCTGCGTGCGTTTGCCCTTGGAGAAAGCAAATGGTGTGTGGTGGAACGGCAGCAACAGTGGCTCGGACACGCGATCGTCACCGTATGACTGGATGTTTGATTGGTGTTTGAAACGTGGGGCGGAAGTGGAGGAGTGGCACAAGCGGCAAATGGCGAAAAGCCCATCGAACAACATGCAACATTTTCCCGCCTCCCGCCAATTGGGTGAAAAAGACGTGAACTCAAAAGCCCTTGAAGGCGACAATGACGACTCTAGCTCTTCATCCGAGTCCAACGTCATTCATCTGTCGCTGAGGAAGACGGATTGGCAAAACGGCGAGTAAATGTTGTCACTTGTGAGGAGGAAAAAAAAAAGGAAAAAAAAAGAGAGAGAGAGAGAGAGATAAGGGAACAAAAGGGGGGAAAGGGGGAAAAAAAGCATATAATTGTGAAGAGGACAATTCTTTATTGTTGTGTATGTGTGTGTTTTGGAAGCAGCGTATGTGTGGATGTAGTGGTCTCTTTATAATAATTACCCCGCATGTATGCGTCAGTATATATATGTATATATATATATATACTTGTCGGCCTGTTTGTCTATGTGTGTGGGTGTATGTGCGGTCCCGTGTATTCTCAACGAGTCATTTGGTCCACGTACACGCGTCATGTATCCTTTTTTTATTGTTGTTGTTTTTGAGATGTCTACTCAAGGAGTTATTTCTCTGATAACACGTGTGTACTGAGCATCCACATGTATGTCCATTGTCCTGGTGGTACGGCTAGCGGCTGCCCACACACACACGCACGTATATATATATATATATACAAAAGCGCCTGCCTTGTGCGAAAAGAATTTCAGTCATTAACGAGTAGATTTATTTTATTTTATTTTTCTTTGTATATATACATGTGCATGGATTTAGGGTAGTTTGTCGGAGGTTGAATAGTAAATGGGAGATGGAAATGACTTTTGATCGCGTTGGGTTTACGTCATTCCAATATATATATATATATATTTTTGAAATCTATGGCTCAACTTCTTGTTGTTGACTTTGCAGAGCATTTTGTTGTTCTTGTAGTTGTTGTTGTTGTTGTTGTTTTTTGCTGTATTGATTTGTGTAGAATATGGCTATCGATAAAACGGGAAAAAAAAAGAAATATATTTGCTTATATTTATATATTTATTTATGTGCATGTGAATTTAAGCAGGAACGTTGTTGTTTGTTTATATTTATATTTATATGTGTATGTGCATGTTTTGCATACTAACACGTATGCCTCCCCCCTTTTTTTTTTTCTCTCTCTCTCTCTCTGTCTTTTTTTTTTTTTTTTTTGCTGATGGCTACTTGCTTCACCGCCGATGTACACACGCTCCCCTTGAAATGGGAGATTAAGAGAGATTTCATTTATTTATTTATATTTATATTTCTGTTTCACGACGCACATGCATCGCTGTATTTTTTATGCATTTATCCCTCTGTCTTGTACCCTCTCGTTTCTCTTTTCTCTTTCTGTGTGTATGCATTGTATGCGTAATTGACTTTTCTTTTCTTTTGTTTGTTTGGGTGGGGGCTTCTTCTTTGTGGCAATCAAGCAGTAGGAGTCCGGGTTGGGATCACTGCCCACCCACCACCCACCCCACCGTTTTATCCTCCCAAGCCAACCACCCCTTCTTTTTTTTTTTTCTTTTTCCCCACATATATATATATATTGAGGGAGAAAGGGAGGAGGGAGAGCGAACAGAAAAGAAAATAATAAATAAAAACAAGCAAACGGAGAAGAAGGGAAAGGAGAAAAAAGGAAAAAGGAAAAAGGATTTCTGTGTGTGTGTGTGTGTGTGTGTGAGGATACGTGTGTATCACGTGATCCGACAAGATGGAGTTTAAGCAGTGGGTGGAGAATCGTTACCGGCATCCGGTTGTGTTGGTGTTTGCTAGTCCCATGACAGAACAGGCATGTCGGCGTAATGGCATGGATTTAGTTCAGATGCTCCGACCCTTCTCTGTTCATCCAACGGAGCTCTTTGCCCACATTGGAGATCGCGCTGACACTATACAGGTGCGCAAATTCGGCGTACGATTCACGCGTCTGGATTGTGTGCGTGAGGTGGAGGCGCTGCAGTCTGCACGTTACTTCCGTCACTTGCTGCGTGATCACGTGGCGATGGAGTTGGCATACGGGGAACAACTGGACCGTGCCATGTCGTTTTTATTGAAGGAAAATGGTGGCGTTGTGGAGGAGCCACGGCTTTCTGCGCAGGTGGCATCGCAGCTGTTGGAGCGTTCCCACCCTGCGTGGTACTCACAATTTATTCGCGACTACGCGTATGTGGTGCGCTGCAGCCACTTTGATACCATTGACCACCCGGTGGGGTGCATTTACGCCGCCTCGACACTTGAGGAAGGTGGCATTGATGGTATTATGCGGGAATTTAGAGAACAACAAAAGCAACCTGTCGATACACGGCGCAACATGCCATGCATGGACGATGAGCTGCACAGTTACTTTCTACTCGTACATGACATAACGGAAGGGCCGCCGATTGAGGAGGTGCGACGCATGCTCGCGGCGGTGAAGGCGCAATACGGCCATGCGCACTGTGCCGTGGTGAAGATCAACTCTGTTGTGAACCCACAGGACGTGAAGAACATGGACCCGTCGCTATGGATCGATGCAAATCGACTCGCACTTGACGTCCCCTCCCGCTCGGCCGTACATTTGGCGCAGCCGTCACAACAGACAAATCAAATGTCTTCCCCTGGAGACGGCGTTGTGAGGGGCAACAACAACAACAACAGCAGCAGCAGCAGTGGTGGTGGTGGTGGTGGTGGTGAACAAAAACCGGTCAGCGGCTCATCGAGTGCCACGGTGAATGTCGTATTTACTGCTGAGAACAGCAGTTACCCCAATAGCGAGAATTCCAGCAGCACACCCGCATCTCTGCACTTCCCGCGTGTGCACACCATGTTCGGGAAGTGGCCAAACGGCATGGCCAAGATTACCGGCTGCCATATGAGTCCAGAGGATGTGGAAGGCTTGCGTGATGTTGTGACGTATTACCTCTCACGATGTCTCTTCAACTTTCTCGAGCGGAAGCTGCGGGTTTTGGTGCTGACAATCAATGAAAAACGTACGACAACATTTGGTAAGGTCGCCGCGTGGTTCCGTAACAAGGACGAGGTGAAACCCAAGACTGACAGTTGGGTCGCGAGCCACGATGGCAGCCCCACGAAGTATCTTGCAGGGTCCTTGGAAATGCAGATGCGACGCGCTGCGGATATTCTGCTGGCGCTTGCGGACTACGATTCCGCAATTAGTTACTACCGGATGTGCCGCAATGAGTTGCTCTCGACGGTGTCGTTACGGGAGTTCAATAAACCGCTCATTGCGGCTTGCCAGGAGGGAATTGGTGTGTGTGAATTTTTGCAGGGTCGTTTGCCGCTACCGAGCCTGGCGCCGTGGATGACAGGAGGCACGTCGTCTAAAAACAGTGGTGACTGTCGATTGGAGGTTGCGCAGAATGACTACGTGGAATGTCGAGTGCATACATACGCTTTCCGCTTGTCCCTCATGCTTTACGAGTACAGTCGTACACGGTCTCCACCGGCATTGGATCGTGCTGCAGCTTCACTGATACATGTTCAACGTGTTGGGATAGCGTACAGAAATAAGTTGTATTCCGCAATATTACATGAGCTGCTTGCGTCTGTTTCACTTTTCCTCAATCCGCCACAACCCGCAGGGATGACAATACCGGCCTTGTTACCTAACAATTTCTTGCTGCGTTCTCATGTTCGACAGTACGCGCGCCAAATGATCATTGCGGGTAGTGCGTATCTAGACGACAACCTTATTGAGAATGCATTGCGTTGTTACCTGCGTGCCCTACGTGTGTGTGGCAGTGTTGGACGTCGTGGCAGTTGGCAACTTATATTTGAGCACATTCACACGCTTTTAGCCCACATGTACCGTAAAATTGGAAACCAAATACGCGGGATGGTTATGGCGTCCATCGCCGTTTCTATGGCGACGCCTATGTACAGTAATCTGCGTACAGGACTTCGCAACTTTGAATCATTTTGGAGTCGGCAGCGACAGGTAATGGAGAATCTCGGCTACAAAATCTGCCCACACATGGTTGCGCCATGTATTTTGCCGGAGTCCATTCGCGTCAGCGCAAATGCGTTTCATTGTGATGAAGTGACAAGGCAGGAGTCACAGGTGGTGAGTGATGAGCTGGCGGAGGTGGAATGGCACAAGATGGAAGACAAACTACGGCAGCATTACACGGGATACGCATCCAGTTCTCCACGCCACCAGCTGAATTTTCGAGAGGAGATTAGAAAGACGCAGCGAGATAATGCCGTGGTATGTATGCGGCGTTATTCGATGCACCTCACAGAACCATTGGAAATCACTGTAACGCTGCGGAATCCCATTGGTGGTCCGCTTACGGCAGAGAAACTCTGTCTCTTGTATGTTGCTAAGCAAAAACCCGATCAGTTGTGGAAGAGCGCCTCTTCTCAAACCGTGGAGTTACAGGCAGCGGAGTCAAAATCCGTCACCATATCCTTCTCACCAAGTGAAGAAGGCACGTACGTCATCATTGGGTTCTGTTGGACGCTTATGGGATTAGAGGGGTATTATTACTTCGCCACGGAAACTTACAAGGCGAGTGACGATGGCAGCAGCGATAATAGAATTGGGGCCTTTGAGTATGCCGTGGAGCACCCCATGCCGAACGTGAATTCACCGGCAAACATGGAAATTGAGGTTGCCCCGCCACAGGCGTGGATCACTGCACGGCTGGACCCCGAACTTCCACCCTTCATGCGGGACGGAGAGTATTGCCAGACAACACTTGTCTTGACAAACGGGAGTTCATACCGCACGGCACGCAGCATTACATTGCAACGCAGTCCGAAGAATGCCCATGTAGTCTGGATGGAGCCTTTTGGCTTGGAGCGTAATATCGATGCAGAGGCAACATTTGTGTTGGAACAAGAACTTGCTCCAAAGACAAGCCTCACATTGCCAATGACGGTGCAAGCCCATCATAGCCAGGACTCATCATCGCGGTGCAAAAATAACGTTTTTTTCCTTGTGGGATACATCTCAGGAACCGCAAAGGAAGAAGATGCGCTCCCTTCTTTTTCTTCTTCCTCTTTTTTGGCGTCTTTGCGTTTTCATCGATTTTTTCGTCGTGTTGTTGTAAAATCGGCTATTTTGCTTTCATCCATGGTATTGCCTCCTGCTAATGTGACCATGGCAACGGCAGTACTTATCACGGCTAGTAACGTGTCCGAGGCACGAGAGCCACCAGTACGGGTGTCGCGTGTGATGGTCATTCACAGACCGCGATGGCGTGTTGTCCCCACTTCTCTTGGGAATCTTCTTGCAGAGAACGCGTTGGATTGCATCTTGTCATCTGGTGGTGCCTTGTGCGTCCCGCTGAGCGTGGTGAGTGAAACACCATCATCAAAGGCAACACACACGGATGCGACCGTTGTCCATTCACGTAAGCTAATAGAGGAGGTGTGCATCCCACTCTCGTCGACGCTCGCTGCAACCTCGAGACGCATCATGGTGGAGGAAAATATCGGCGCCGGCGTTGTGGACTCCGAGATGAATTCATACTTCATGCGCTGCAGCTTCCGTGGGCCCGGGACCATTGGTGAAGTGAAGGTTCCTGAAGGTCTTCCATTTTACTTAGACAAGGCAGGCGCTGCGGGAAAATCGGCAGGCAGTGACGAGGGTGCAGCCCAGAAACAAGAAGAGCAAATTTATCATCCCCATCACCAGCAAACACAGCGCCACTCAACAACGGTGGTCCCAGTTGTGGAGCCCTTTACACCCATTTGTGTGGCGGTGGTTTGGGCGGTTGAGGAGAGGGGGCGGATGTACAGCGGACAAATGTTCCACTTTGTCGATCCCGTTTGTTTCCTTTCATCTTGTGAGTTTTCCGTGGGTGAAGCACACGATAGACTGCAGGAGCATCTCTGTGACTCGATGATAAAAGATCATACTCTTCATCCGCATCATGGCGCAATGTTCTACCACGTCGAAGTGCCGCATACTGTGGAGACAACAGCGGACAACCCAGATGTTGCCATTATTCCCGTCACGGTACATTGTCGTTCGCTAGCCGCACATCCTCTTCTTGTGACGGTGAAGACCACGATGCCCGGTAGCCCTGATGCTCTTCCGTCGCCCATGTTGTCTCCTGTGCCTCTCACCTTTGTAGGGAAAACGAGTGTTGGGTTTTTGCTTTTACCCCATGAAACTCATCTGCTAAACTTCACGGCGTGCGCCTTTGCACCCGGTGTGGCGGAGTGCAATCACTTTCAGGTGAGCGCTGTGGCACTGAAGCCCCCACAAGGTGAGACATGCGGTTCATGGAGGACAGGCACCTCGCAAAGCGCCTTGATGAAACTCCTTGGAGAAAATACATCATGCCTTGGAAGGAATCCGAGCATGACGGCAGGAGTAAGAGGTGGAGAAATAAACGTTAGCGGTGGTGATGGAAACAAGTGTGTTAGTAGTGGCGGTAAGGATCATTTAGGTGGTGTTGAAGATTTATTGAGGGATGGCGTTCAAACGGTCATTCTTGGCCACGGCATGGCAGCCATCACACATGTTCTTTTTGTATCCTTTTCAGTGGAGACCAGGAGGGTAGCAGCTGAGACGGTGGCTGCGAGGGCAAGGGCGTACCAAGAGGACGCCAAGATATATGAGAAACAATACAGGGAGTTTGAACACCGAAGAGCTCTTCTGAATTTTTCTTCAGGCACAACGTTTCAAAAGGCAGATGATTTACTGGTGTTGTATCCTCCCCGGGCACGCAAACTGGTGGAGGGGACACAGGACACGCCACATGGCGCAGCTATTGGTGTTTCAATTGGGTCTGTGGGACAGGCCGACCCGTCGCCGTGGCATGGAGACCGTGAAATTTTAAGGGGAATTGTCGGGTCGACCAGTGCAGTCATGTTGGAGGCTGTTGGAACGACGTCCTCCTTGGTGACAGATGGGGTTGTAGAAGTAGTCGCCGACGTTGAGGAACAAGAGAATCAGGAGGGGCTACAAAACGTAACCGTGCCGTTGGAAGATACGTCGAAATCGGGAACGGATGTAAGCTGTTCAAGCACAACGAGTACAGATATGTCCCTGGAATCTACTGCAGAGCAAAATCCAAACACTTCATCGGAGGAGGTGTACCACACGACGCAGCAACAGTAGTGGAACGAAGAACGAAGAAGGGGTGGAGGGAAAAGAGCGGAGAGGAATTGGCGGGGAGAAAAAAAAAAAGAAAGGGAAAGGGGGGATTTGGAATTGATGGCTCACATGTGCCCAAGACCAGGTAGGGAGAGGGGGGTTCTACCTCCGGATAAGCATGAAGACTAAGCTGAGGTGTGGAGTTTATTGAGGCATTCAAAGTAAGAATCAACTCCCATCATTTGGTTTGTTTGTTTGTTGTTGTTGTTTTATGCTTTCTCCTTTATTTTGAAATGACAGTCGCTTTTTTATGCGCCCTTCACAGAACTTTCTCTGTGTTTTCCTCTTCTTTTTCTTTTTTTTTCTTTTTTCTTTTTTATTCTTCCTGTTTCTTTATGCTGCATTTCGTTTTTTTTTTTTTCTTCTTGGTTTGTTAGCTTTACTGAGAACACGTTTGGACTTGTCTTATGTGTTCTTGTTTGTGGCGCTTAACCGCGGTCGGATTTGTTGAAACGCGTTTCTTCTTGCTTTTCTTTTGGATAAAACTCGCTGCTTCCACTTCCGGGATGATGTGGAGGGCAGGAGGGAAGGGGGTGGGGGAAGAAGAAGAAGAAAAGAAGAAGAGTTCTACCAACACGCGGGATTTAAGTTTGAAGCCCTTTTTTTTGTTTGTTTTTTTTTGTTTTGTGCCCCTTTTCCTCCTCCTTTCACCTGCTGTTACTTCATTTCTCTGTTGTTTTTATCGTTTGTGTTCTTCCCCCTTTCTTTTTCTTTTCTTTTTTATTTTGGTAGCCGTTGTTGTTTTGGCGCTGTTGGTTCGTCTGCAAAAGGGAGGAGGCGGGGTTAGGGGAGCAAGGACCGACGGGCGGACTGTGTGTGTGTGTGTGTGTGTGTTTGTGCGCTCGTGATCGATGCCCTCGTCGGCGTCTCGCCCGAAGAGCGGAAGGATGAAGCGCCGGCGGTCACGCACGAGAGAAACGCCGACGCGGGGGGAAAATGCGGGGAGGCGCAGACGGGAGGCGTCGCGCTCCAGCCGTTCCTCTTCGGGTTCCTCGCGGCACTCCACGTACTCCTCCTCCTCCTCCTTGCGGGGGTCAGATGAGCGCAAGCACTACCCGCTGTTCACGGCAGAGTACGCCAGGCGCTTTGGGCGCAGCAACATCCCTTTTCTGCGTCTGGACTCCGGCGACATGCATCAGAAGCAGCAGCAGCAGTTCACGTCCCCTTTGCTTCGTTTGAAACACGTGTCGCCAACACCGTGGACGCGGGTGCGGCCTCGTTGGATTTTGTACAATGAGTACGTGCTGCTGCGTGAGTTGGGTAAAGGCACCTACTCCAAAGTTGTCTTGTGTCGCTCCCTCCGCACTGGTGATCTTTGCGCATTAAAAATATTTCGCAACGAACAGACCTACAAGGAGGCGTACTGGAACGAAGTGGGGACACTTGAGGCGTTATGTCGACCGCTTCCAGAGGAGGTGGAACGGCAGCAGCAGCAGTACAACATCGGCGTGAGTAGTGGGGGTCATGGTGGCGGTGGTACCGGCGTTTGCAATGGTGAGGGTAGTCTGACGGCGACCGTGACGGGACGGTATGATGCATTTGGTGGTTCAGCGGTGTGTCAGGGACAAGCGGGTCGTTTCATCGTTCCCATTTCACACCTGCCCCATCCCATTCACCACGCGATTGTTCTGCCCCCTCTTGGATTTTCGCTGTTTGACGTCCTGCGGCACATTCGTGAGGAGTCCATGAAGGCGGCGGGCAATTTAGCGTCGGGATCACAGAAAAGTACATTGCCAAATGGTGTTGACGAAGAGACCGTATTGCGTCAACGTGGTGTAATTGAGGTTCATTACAGAGGTCTGCCCCTCGAACTTGTACGCTCGGTCCTGTACCAGATTCTTCTCTTCCTGCGCCACGCACACCGCCGTGGCATTGCACACACGGACATTAAACCAGAAAATGTTCTATTTGAATCCAACGACACCCTCATGACGCAGCTTTGCATTAGGACGCATCGCCACTCCAACAACTCCTTTGAGCCGTTTGGTAGTCATGAACAAACTCAAAAAATAGGTTTGGGTGGTATTGGTACCTTCACATCATCATCGCCATCCCCGAACTCCATGCAGAAGGGAATGAGAGTGAGTGAAACCGTATTGAACGTCAGGCTTCCTGCGATGAATGCTGTTCGTGTCATTGACGTGGGTGCCGCCGAATTTCTCTCAGAGTGTCGCAAACTAAGTGTGTTGGATGGTAAGACACCTGTTTTTTACCACCGCATTCAAACGACGCATTACTGCAGTATAGAAGTACTGCTTGGGCTTGGGTGGACGAGTTCTGCGGACATGTGGTCACTTGGCTGCATGATTCCCGAATTGCTTACAGGGGATTGTATCTTTATGCCACAGGATGACCTTGAGCACATTGCCCTCATGCAGCACATTATTGGTCCATTTGATATTCCGGAGAGCAATGGGCAATCTGAAACAATTGTTAGGCGTGTGTTCGCAAAGGGACGTTACTTCGAAAGCTACTTTGATACACATACGATGCAGTTGGAGTGGCCATACCGGTTTAATAGGTCATCATCGCAGCGCCGACGGCGTATTATTTCACTTGAGGATATTCATTATGTCGTGTCACGACCAACGCTACAGGAGGTGCTTGAGCCCTTTCCGCAACTGTATGATCTCTGTCGACGGCTTTTAGACTATGACCCACTGCGTCGTATCACTGCCGCCGAAGCCCTCCAACATCCATTCTTTACTTTAACCCCGTAATCACAGCGTGATGTTTATCTGTTTGTGTGTGTGTGTGTGTGTGTTTCCCGCTTTCTTTGTGGATGTAAACTCATCGCCGTGGAAACTGTGACGGGCGACCAAAACAAGGGAGATGGATGCGGGGGGGAGGGTAGCGCCCAAAGCTTACAGTGGGGACCCAATGAGGCAATGGCCCCCGGAGTTTCTTCTTTTTTTTTTTTACTTTTCCCTCCACTCCCTTGCAAATTCTTCAGGTCTCTCTGTAATGTGCGGTCATGTGTGGTGAAACCGTCACGGAGGGACACGTACGAGAAGTGACGAGAAGGTAAAGAATGAAAAATAAAAATAAATAAGGAGGAATTTAACCGCGAAGGCACGTTCACACACAATGAGATAAAGAGAGGGAAGTGAGTATGAAGAATGAAGGGTTATGATCATGCGAGTTATGTCGTCTTATTTCTTTCTTCCTTTTGGGTTTTTTTCTTTTTCTTTTTCCTTTTTTCCATCTCCTTTCATTACTTATTTATTTATTTTTTTTTTTTTGTTGTTGTTATTGTTGCCTTCTCCCCCGTCAATGTCATCAATATGATACCATCGTTATTATTACTCGCGTGTAACGCAGAAACACACCGGTAGGTAGCAGAGGGACATCACACACACACACACTGCAATGCAGCCCCCACAGGCGAATCCGCAACTCGCTGGTTTGCCGCAGCGAGATGCCGTCGTGCTGGCGGAAAAACTGCAGTTAATCACATACGATGGTTTTATACACTGCGCGCGGCAGTGTATCACTCACTACGGCGAGGACTCCCTTCCATACCACCCAGGCGAGAAGTCGTGTCTAGACCGCTGCATCAGTAAGGTTTACAACGGGCTCGAGCTCTCCCGACAACTCAAGAAGGAGTTTGAGGAAAAGGTGAAGAGGGGCGAGATGCCATATCGGTGGATGAAAGAAATGACAGCCGCGGCGACATAAGGGATGAGGTACAGACGTGGCTGTGATTGTTATTTTTGGTAAGTGCATTGGTGATGGCGGTGATGTTGATGATGCGTCTTGACGGTATGCCCGACACTTTATATAATAATATTAATAATCATAATGTATCCTTCTCTCGTTCTTTGCACTGCCTACAACGGTCCGGCAGTAGTAGCCAGAGCCAACAGAAATGACGATGAGAGCCTTCTATAAATTCACGGAGTGGCGGAGGTGGAGAGTGAGAGGGAGGAGGGGAGGTGCCGGCAAAGGTGATTGGTGAGTTGATGCAAACAAAGACAATAAGACAACGAGAGAGAGAGAGAGACGTAGAGCCATTAAGGAAAAAATGTTGGAACGCGGTTATTGTGCCTTTTTCTGCATGCTGACGCTGTTGTTGTTGTTGTTGCTTCTCTTTACGTCTACTTCACGCGACATCCCACGCCGTTTCTTTCTCTCCTCTTTACTGCATCCTTTCTTTTTGTTTTGCTTTGTGTAGGGTCCAAGCCGTTTGGCCACTGTGTGTGTGTGTGTGTGCGTGTTGGATTGTGTCATCATTTAAACTCATCTTCCCCCCTCTATTTCTGTTTACTTTTTTCCAATCCATGGGGTGGTGGGAGTGTTGAAAAGAAGTGAATAATAACACGAGAATAATAAAGAAAAGAGAGAGAGAGAAAGTAAGTGTCAACAACACAAACCAATAAATAAAACATGTCTTATCGCGCATATGGTGGAGGCTATCGTGGACGTGGCGGAAGAGGTGGAAGGGGTGGACAGCACTGGCAACAGACGGCATGCGAAGAAGATACGTTTCGCGACCCGAGTAATTTTAACTCCGGCTCACCGTATGCAGAGCTGAGGAATTACTTTAACTCTGTCGAGGGCGTCAATTACGGAGAACTGAAGTCCCTGACAAACGCGTCCTTTGCACTTTCAGAATCTGTGCGGTGTACGTTTTTGGCGATCCAGTCCGATCCATTTGCTCCTGGAAGTCAGGTGCGTATGTCCTGCCCTTGCCCGTTTCAGTTGCAGAAGATCCTGCAGTGCTCGGAATTGAGCTCCTGCGTGCCGTGTCGTCGTATCGCGGCGGAGGACTACATCCTCCGTTCCTTTCATGATGGCCATCGTCGGGGTGTTGCAAGACACCACAGTGGGGCGTTGCATGTGATGCGTCCCTCTCAACATGTGTTGGAGAGGAGTACGGTTGTCCTGGTGAATGGCGATAGGGAGAGAGGAGGGGTGGAGGTGCATTTGTTTGCGCGGGTGAAGCTGCCGGGTCATGGACGCCGCATTGATGGCCATGGAGCCATCCGTATTTTTTACGATGAACTTCTCCCGATAATGGAGCGTTGTGTTGTTGGCCTCGACGAAGAGGCCCTCTACCAGCATGTCACCTGCGTCCACGATCAGGAACATCTTCGTGGTGAGTTGCGTGCCGCAGGGTGTGTGGCGTTTGTTGCGAATGGATCCGTGTTGCCACGCGAATCAGGGAATTCCGACAGGCCACTTGGCAAAGGCGCGGTGCCATTTGTCTCGCCAGCGTCGCTTGAGCGCACATTTCATCTGCCGCACAGCGGTGCCACGGTAACGGGCATGGGCCTCCCGCATGGGTTGATACTCATCGCCGGTGGTGGGTTCCATGGAAAATCGACGCTCCTGCGCGCACTGGAAGTGGGGATTTACAATCATGTGCCGGACGACGGCCGGGTGTACGTCACTGTGGACCCAACAGCGGTGAAAATTCGTGCGGAGGATCGACGATCCATTAATGGTGTTGATATATCGCCCTTTATTAATAACCTTCCGTTCCAAAAGACCACCACCTCATTTGTCACCTCCGATGCCAGTGGCAGCACTAGCCAAGCCGCTAATATTATGGAGGCCCTGGAGCTGGGATCACGGTTGTTGTTGCTTGATGAAGATACCTGCGCCACCAACCTGATGTACCGTGACGATTTGATGCAGCAACTTGTGCCACGTGAACAGGAGCCCATTACCCCATTCGTGGACCGTGTCACGGACCTGATACAGAACCATGGGGTTTCCTCCATCATGGTGATTGGAGGATCCGGGCAATATTTCCCGCACGCCACGGTAACCTTAGTTATGAATGCTTACAAGGCTTTTGATTGCAGCGAACGTGCGAAAGAAATTTCGAGAACTTTCATGTCGTCTGTGCAACCGCCCAAAAAAGCTATCTCCGCCTTTGTCTCGCCAATGCAACGCCAGTTTGATGGGAGTGGGACATTCTCCACCGTTCACTGTCGCAGGGGCCATGACAGCATCAAAGTTAGTGGCGTCGGTGTGGACAGCATCCGTTTTGCCGAGGAAACCATTGATTTGTCGCTAGTTGAGCAAATTGTAGAGGAGGGACAAGTGAACGCCATTGCTCAGTGCCTCGCCATGTTGTATGACGGGGAGGAAAATGGCATCAGAACCATCCTTGCGAAGGGGAAATCGCTGAAGTTGCTTTATTCACCTTCGGGCGGTAGCGAACCACGTAACGTGCCCTTTTACTCGGAATTCGCTGCATTGATTGAGGGCTGTGACGCGGCATTGCGTGATGCACGACTGGAGGCGCGAACGCCATCGTGTTATTTGCCACGTGGCTTCACATCAGCGGCGAGGCGGTTTGAAATTGGCGCCGCACTCAACCGATTGCGCACACTCCGGACCCTCACAGCAGCCATGAAGTGACAAGAGGGGGGTAGAAAGGGGGGAAAAAAAAGGAAGAAAAGAGAGAGAGGGAGTGCAGGAATGCCCGGGAAAAAGTGAAGAAATGAACTCAGAATCGAATAGAAATGAAAAAATTGGGGTGGGTGTGTGGTGGGTGGGGAAAAAAAAAACTTCAATAAAAAAGTGAGATTCATAATAGAAGTGAATTGCCAATGGTATATTTATATATTTGACGACAGAATTTTTGTAAGGTGTTTTTGCAAGGAATTTATACAGTGGGACCTTTTCTTTTTTTTTCTTTTTCTTTTTGTTCTTTTTACTTTTTGGTAATGCAGAGAGAGAGGGGGGTGGGGCTGAATTAGAAATAGTGATGTAATAGAAAGAAACAAACGAAAAAAAAAAAAAAAGGAAAAGGGGGTCAATTCATGAGTTCTCTCTCTCTCTCTTTCTTTCTCTCTCTCCATTACACGCGTTCATTCACATGCACACGGTCGCAATGACGACTGATCTCTCATCACTTGCATTCGTTGCTGCCTACTTGAGGTGCCTCTGAGAAAATATTGTTTGCGTTTGTGGTTCCCCTTGAATTTTATCTTGTTTTTATTTATTTTCCCCCAGGGAGTCGAGGTTGTAGGGATATTGTTTAATCTGTTGTTGTTGTTGCCCTCCTGGGCTCCCAAATGGTATGGAAAGAAGGCATAGTGGAGGAAGGCAGCGATCATGGATGGATGTTTACTTTCAGTAGACGTAGAAGGTTGCGCCAAATACTGCGCCCGTTGGCCTTTCACAGATTTAAATTTATTGTATTCATGTGTTTTTTTATGGCTATTTGTACATATCTTTTGTCCCGCATCGGAGAGGATGGAGGAGAAGTGTTGTTGCGTCAAAGTGGTGTAATCACGACAAACTTGGATCGCATTACGGATCCAGTAAATGAGCTTGTCGCCGAGGAAACCATGACGCAGCTGCATCACGGTACATACCGCGTCGTCAGTCTATTAAAGGATGGGTCTGGGGACGCTATCCAGTTTGTGTTCAAGGCAGAATGCCGGCCTGCATCGAGGTGGCATGGCCAACAGGGATGGACTGAAGTCGCCGTGTATCATTTTCAACAGCTTTTCTACGAGGGGGATGAATGGGCATATCCGAAGGCTGAGCTCGCACGTGGTGTGGTGATCGCCATCACGGAGGAGCAACTGCTGCGTGTCGTACACAGAGATCGTTGCGGAGTGCTCACAGAAAAGGATATGGTACATCTATCGAGGAATATAACGCATGGGAAAAAGTTCCAGCGTAGGGATCATATTGTTGTCACTGGAAAAAGTAAAAAAGCAACTGTTTTGATGATTGGTGTTGCCCTAACTTGGCGAGATGGCTTTGATGATAATACTTATCCATCCGCTTCCGTGTATGCCCCTTATTTTCTCGTCCCTCCATTTTATAATCCGATAAAGCGGGAGCCCATTCATCGTTTTGTTTTGCATGAAATGTCGGATGTTATGGTCTTTGACTATCTCTTATTGAATCCAGATCGCGCTTTTGGTAAGAACTGGTTCCGAGACAAGGCGACGCATTTGCACTCGGCTTTAATTGATAATGGTTGGGCCTTTGCCGGGCAGAAGTTCGGGTCCTCGGTGTGCGAGGTGGAGAGTGGGCTCCTACACTGTCCCTCGCCGCTACGAACGTGGAGCAACCAAAGAAGTAGTCAGTGGCGATGTACACCAAGAGACCATGCAAAGACTGATTTTGAAGCCGAAATGGTCATGAAAGCACGTCGCCCTGGTTTGCTGAAATGGTGCCGTTTTCGACCTGAGACACGCCATGCCCTCAACCGGACACGGATGCAATGGCATAATGAAAACCATGCAAGCACGTCTCTTTCTCAACGGTGGATAGAAAAGATGAAGTCAGATACACTTGTGGCTTTTTTGCTGGGGGCCTATGGTGAAGAAACATCGAAAAACCGGTTTAATCGAGCTCTGGCACGTTACGTGCATGAATGTCCTTCGCACCCTGTTGCAAAAGAAGCCACCGGATATAAGATGTCCTCGCTGAATCTCTTGCATGCACTGGAAGTTGGACTGCTAGCTCGCATGGACAGGCTGGCCGCCCACTTGGAAGAGTGTCTACAGGAGTGTGGTGAAACCTACGTATACGCAATTGATGTTGAGAATTGATGGTTCTATTGATATTTTTGTTACTTGTTGCCGTTTTATTTTATATTATTATTATTTTTTTTTCCCTTCTGGGTGTTCTTACTGTTGCAGTCACTGTGTCGACATCCTGTATGCATTTGGGTTTTCCTAGGCGACGCACGGTTGGGGAATACTTTAATGGGGTTGATTACAATATCTTCATTCATACATAACAGGAAAAGGTGGGTGAATTTTGTTGCTGAGACGAAGACGACTTACCCTTGCGCTTACTTGAAGTGAACTTGTGCGGATAACTTTTTGTTGTTGTGGATGCTTTTCTTTTTTTGTTGATGTTTTGGTTGTTTTGTTGTGTGATTTTTTGCTTTTGGGAAAAGTGGCCGGCCTCTAAAGGGGGGTGGAGAGAGAGAGAGAGGGTTTTTGTTTGTGTGTGTGTTTGGTGGCAAGGAGGAAAAAGTAGAAAATTATTTGGGAGCCACGCAGGCGTCATGGCTCGTACAGGGTTGGAAGAGTGGGATGCGTTTGGCATTTTTGACGGCCCCCCGCCACCCCCCACCACACATCTTACAGTCCGGCAGTATGTGAGTCTTGTGCAGCGGATTGGGCAACGCCTTGGGATAAGTGACATCTTCTTCCGTTTTAACCTTCCGTTAGCGGGAAATGATGATGGTGATGATGTTGCGCTGAATGCATGTGGCCACCCACCTGTATGCGCGCACTTGGCTCGTGAAGACGGGCTCCATGCGATGAAGCATCCAGATTTACTCCCCACGGTTGCATGCGACGATGTAAACATGGCGGTGCACGGGCCACCGCATGTACATTGTTTATTCTGCCTGCATGAAACACAAGGGACGCACGGTCCGGTGGTTATTCCGGATTTGCGTCAGAATATCCTTGGCCACTGCATGTATCATTTGCGGAAGCGAAATGAATGTTTGGCTCTACTCGAAGGAGAGGCGGTAGCCCACATGGGTGAGATAGGATGGGGAGTAGATCTCTCGCTGGAGGCGCAGCGGGGGGAACTGGAAAAAAAGGCAGAATGTGAGGGACGACATGGTTGTTTTATTGCTTCTGCCAGCACTGCAGCCTGCCCTATTGTTGTGACGTACTGTGCGCTGTGTGACCAACTGGCCCCGTTGGCGACATTTGTTACAGTACCGAAGGAAACGGAGCATGACGGTAACAAAAACGACAACGAGCAACGACAAGGCTTGGAGGAGGAGGAGGAAGAAAAAGAAGAGGAGGCGAAAAGTATGGAAGAAGCTGAACTTATACTGGCACGTATTTTGTTGGGATGTGAAGTGCTATATTTGCTGAGACGCGAGAGAGCTCAGGCAGGGCGTGTGTCATTGCCTCACGTGCAACAGGAGAGGCACATTTTCCTTGCGACACCACTTCTTTTTGGTGAGGATAGAGAGGAGCTTACGGATGCCTTTGAGAGTGGGGCGATGGCCACGTACGGTTCCGTCATTCTTCCAATGGCAAGTGTGAGTGGCACACCAGAGGCGCCGCGTCTTTGCCTGATGAACAGAGAAGCAACCGTGCATTTTCTGCGGGACCAGCTTCCACCGTACCAGTTCACCGATGCGGTTGTGGGGTTTGTGATGGAGTGGCCCACGGAAGCGGAGACGAACGAGAAGGTTGAGTGGGTGCTGCGGCAAGATGGCGGCCTCAACGTGCAGCGGCGTTTGGTGTACGTGGAGGACAGAGACGAGTGGGTAATTGCACGTGTTTTTTACCACCAAGAAACGGCATCTTTGGAGAGCTGTAGCGAGAGTAGAGTGGAACGCATGTATGGCGGTAGCCTTCGCTTGCGGAAGGATTGCAGTGTCGTCAAGATGTTACCGGTATCACTCCTGCAGCAGTACACACTTCAAGACCACTGTGGAAGAGAGGACATGGCTCCTTGCATGAATAATGATAATAACGAGATGGAAAATAAGGTCGACGCCATGGTGATAGAGGAGGAGGAACCAATGGGTTGCCCGTACAGTATGGAAGCCAGAGCAGTCCATTTCTTTGTAGGCATGACGGCGTTGGCCAAGGCGATGAAGATGGTGGCAGACCACATGAAGGAGCACCAGCCGTAATGAGTACTCCAAATGAAAAGCAAAAAATAATGCTTCACGTGTCACAAGACGCTTTTGCGTGACGTTCATTTTTGATCACACGGAATGGATTCGTCTCATGCACCTGTTTTTTTTTTTTGTTTTGTTTTATTTGGAGCCTCCACACCAAGTATGGGGAAAAAGAGAGGGGGAGAAAAGGAAGACTTATTGTTTTTTGTTGTTGTTGTTTTTCCTTTTATTATCATAATTATTGGTGACGCTTTTATCTCCACTCTCTCCGTAATCTTCAAATGTCCCCTCTCAATTGCTTCCGATGACATGTGAGGGGAGAGGGAGATAGAGAGAAAGAAAAGAAAAGGAACCACATACAAATAGGAATTCTTCTGTACATGAAAAAATATCTGCATCCAGTACCCGATTTAGAGGAAGATCGTTTTGGAGTTGCTGTTAGCGATCCCATGGACGCGCCAGAAGGGTTGTCCCCGATGACATGTGGGGAACTTGCCATTGTTCCATCGCCCTCTGAGATGCAAATAGCATCACGATCGGAAAATTACACGGCACGGCGAAGTCGGTCACCATATGGGCCATTGTCTCTCTCTGGAGTCTGCCCCACATGTCACCGTCCGCTGAGCGAGGGTGTTGCGGAGAGCTTTTCTTTGCCTTCCAATGAACGTCGTTTTACCCCTCAGTATTTCAGGACGCTGGTTCAGGCACACAAGCAGCATCTTTCCATCTGCGAAAGTCCCTCGTTGCATCAGCGGCTAGAGGAAAAAGAAAAAACGGAGGCATCACAGCAGATACGGATGTCAGCCGGGTTACGGAGAAAAAGAAAAGTCCATCTTGGCAACGAGGAGGCGGAGGAAGAAGAAGAAGAAGAGGAAAAAGAAGAAGCGAGAGTGGCAGATAGATTTAAAGAGGCAAATGACAAATTGATGGGATCTCCGAAAGGGGAAGATGTGACCGTTGGCAGTCCAGGTGATAACATTAACAATGGTAATACTACTACTACTAGTAGTAGTGGTAGTAGTAGTGGTTACTATAAATGTTACTTCAGAGAAATTCAAAAACTTGGCAATGGGACGTTTGGTGGTGTATATCTCTGTCAACACGTCATGGAAGGTGTCGCGCTTGGGTACTTTGCGTTGAAAAAAATTCCCGTTGGCGACAATGCTGAATATCTACAAAAGGTATTACGAGAAGTGCGCATTCTTGAGGAGGTCAAACGGCATCCAAACGTTGTAGAGTATAATCACAGTTGGGTGGATATTGCACAGATAGCCGATTTTGGTCCACCTGTGCGATGCCTTTTTATTCTTATGGAGTATGCGACACTGGGGTCACTGGACTCGTATCTTGAACGTCATGGCATGGCGTTGCCAACTATAGCCGTTTGGTATTTTTTTCTTTCCGCTCTAGTAGGAATTGTCCATTTGCATCAGAAAAATATTCTTCATCGTGATCTCAAACCGCAGAACCTCCTCCTGACAGGAGCGCCTGAGAAACCACCGCGGGTCCTCGTCAGTGACTTTGGAACTGCCACACTTCTCAATGAATTGTCGTATGAGCGGACGGGTGGGACAGGGACCATCGAATACATGGCACCTGAGCTCTTTGAGTGCACTCCAGAGAGCGGTGGGGCGTACATCCACCCGCACACAAAAGCGACAGATGTTTGGTCTTTGGGTATGATTCTGCACTACCTTGCCTGCAGTGGAACGTTGCCAGCCCGTTTGCCCAATGGGGAAGTGGTACTAAATGTGGAGGAATGTGCTCCGTACGCACGACCGCCGGAGATGATAGAGCTTATTCGTGTCATGCTGCATCGCAATCCAAAGGAGCGTCCCACATGTAAAGAGTTGTTGAATTCTACAGTCGTGCAAACGATTTTGCGTAGTTTTGAGAAGGCGAAGCTTTCCACGGATATTCTTCCGACAACTGCTGTCGCTGCTGCTGCTGCCGCAACTGCCTCTTGGCGTCAAAAAAAGAGGAATCAGACTGGAGAGCCGATGCATTTGGATTGTCGAGGTTGTGACCCACCCAATCCGAGGTTACAAGATGGGGGTGCTCCTAATGATAATGAAGGGGAGGGGATTTTGCAATATCCACATTCACCAGTGGTGGAGGTGCCGCTGATGTTGCAGTATAAAACAATGGAGTTGAAACGTAATATATCCGCCGGTACCCGTGGGGGCAACAAAGGACGAAAACTGACAACGGTAGACCGAGCCGTGCAGACAGATTACGTCAAAATAGTGTATGAATAAGGATGCGTTTTACCTTTGGGTGAGTACTGTTGTTGTTTTCTTTCTTTTTTTTCTTTTTTTTTTTTTTTCTTCTGCTCTCTCATTGGTTTTTTCGTATTCCCTTTTTAAATACCTCTCAAGAATTGTGTTGTGTGGATAATATAGGCGAAGGTTGTTTGTTGTGTGTGGGTTAGGTGCACCGTGGAAACTCCTTCTGAGTTTTAGGAGTAGATATTGTACGCTTTCATCTTTAATTGTATAAAAGTTGTTGTTGGAAATTTAAGTTAGCATTGAACTCAAATACCATAAAAAAGAGGGTGATCCTCATCAAGTGAGTACGTATATATATATATACATGTATATGTATATTTATATATACATGTGTGTTGAAGTTATTGCAGTTTATTTCAATTGTATGTATATATGTATAATATAATATACAATATAATACATAATATATATATATGTACCTGTGGGTTGTTTCCGTGAGGTAATTTTACGAGAAATTGCTTCTTCTCGCATTGGCATATTTACTACCGTTTTTTTTTTTTCTCTCTCTCTCTCCGTGATGAAGGTGAAGACGTAATTGACTTGTACGAATGCGTAACAGCTGTGTGTATAATTCTCTTTATTGATGCAAGTTGGTGGCGTTCCCTTTTGTTGTTGTTGTTGTTGTTGTTATTCTTCTCTCGTTGTTAGTAAGGCTGGGGCGGTGGGTGGCGGAAACAACAACAAAAGGGTGTGGGTGTGTGTGGGGGGGGGAGGGGAGGAAAGGGAAGAGGTGGAAAGGTGGAGAAGAAAACATGGTGGCTGGGCGTTTGATCGGCGTGGCGTTTGCCATTCCGTTGCTTGGGGCTCTGGGGTGGACGGCGTACACCAGCAGGGGTGTGCGAAATGTCGTTGTGAGGAATCCGCTGGATATATCGCCGTATTGCCGCGAGGCGGCTGCAAGGACGAGGCGGAATGGTGTTCCGTGTCTGATTTGTGCGTTCGAAGTGCCTGTCGTGGTTTCAACAGCGAAAATGCGACGTGAACTCGCATGCCACCCATCCGATGGGGCACTCTATGCATTGCATGCTCTGCTGTCCGGTTGTTTTATACGTGTGGAAGTGATTGCGACAGCCTTCACGTCGCGTTGGCGTCTTTCTGATGCGTATATCTGTTGGAGATCGGTCAGCCGGTCTGTCCTTTCCGAGAATCGTCGTGTGGCGATACGGCAGAAGCAGCAGTGGTGTCATGACACGAGTGGTTCCGTTGACTTATCCTCAACATATGGAGAGTGGGAGGTGCTCTGTGCGCAGAATGAGAATTCTGCTGGCCGTAAGGAGGCTGTGTTAACGCATGGGCCCGAAGCGATTATTGTGTCGCTTGAGCCGGTCGTTGAGGGAAGTCGTCAGGCGGTGCTCCGTCTTTGTTATTTGGTGCAGCCCTTTGATGGGTTTGAAAGAAATACGATGGCAGAGCGAGTGGCGTTGTGGGGTGCAGAAAAATACGGCAAGTTGTTGACAGCACAGACGGCATACGCCCTTGAACAAATGGAGGCGTTTTGATTGTTTGCATGCCGTTTAGGCCTATCGCCCTTTTGCCCATTGATAAGGGAGGCGGGCAAATTATATATATACATATACTTTGTGTGTGTGTGTGTGTGTGTGTGTTGAGTCCTTTAGGCTGATGCTGTTTACATGAAACACGTCCTTTCGTCTTATTTATTATTGTTCTTTCCGCCTCCCAATTTGTGGAGGCAGCAAAAAGGAAAATAGATAGATACATAGAAGGAACAGGGGAACACAGAAGAAAGTCTGGGGAGGTGGGGAAGAGAGCAACACAGCACCACGAAAAAAAAAAAAAAAAGAAGCGTCATCCAGCTTGCTTCACACATGGAGAGTGTAGACACACGGCGTTATCAATCCTTTCAGCTTCTTGAACTTTTTATTGATCTTATTCACGGCGATCTCATTCGCGGTGACGTCGCCTGCCGCCGCGTAGCGGATGCTTTCGTCTCGGCGTATGAAGATGCCATCCGCTGGCTTGTCACGGAGGAGAACACATTTACCCCTGCACTTAAGGGTGCCATCAACACGTATTGTGCAAGGCACGTTATTCGTACAGCACCGGAGCTTCTCATCGTCTCAGAAAAGGCGGTGGCGGCGTATAAACAGATTGCTGACGTGTTATTTGAGACGGAAGAACTGTTACATATGGGCAAGGCGATGGCATATGAGTTGTCGCATTTGAAACGCCGTCTTGAAACAAAACGTTTTTCCAGGTTAGTTGACCTTATGGCTGACGTTGTCGTTGCGTACATGCAAAAGGCATTCCAGCAGCACGAGGAAGCAAAGGCGTCGTGTATGCATTTGCAAAAGGACCCAGCATTCTGGGTGTCTGTAGAGAAGTTTTGTACGTCTTCAACACGTATAGAGAATGAATATATCACTATGGATAAAAAGCGTCAGCGAGAGGAGAAGAAGGAGGAGGAGGTACTGCAGGTGGATAAAAACAGAGTCTCAAAGGAGGCACCAATGCGTGGCTTCTCAGAGGAGCTCCGTCTTGCCATATCTTCCCCCATAAAGAGTCACACCACACAAGCTCTCAGTACTCGCTTTATCGCATGTGCCCAACCGTCGCCATCTCCTCCGAGCATCGCGGAAGCAGAAGAAGAAGCAAAGCGAAGCAAAGAGCCGGTGAAATGTACTGGGCGTGCCTTACTCCAGGCGAATGATTCGGTGTTGGCAGCCGTGGAAGGCATGGGAAAGAGAGATTTTCAAACGGCGCAGGATGTCAGCAGTGGCTTTATTGTGGCGGATGACTCGGGAGTATCTCTTATGCCCGCCCCATCGACCATGCGGAAGGTTGTCATGGTCGCAGGGGGTCTAAACGAAACTGACGCATCGCTCCTTTCTGATGATGTTCACGTGAGGAGCTATGTTCTCTGCGCAAAAACGAGTCGCTACGAGCCTCAGGCTTCTCGGAGATCTCTTCCATAATCATATGTATCGTCTTTGCTGACGTACACTCCTTGTTTTTTCCTCTTTGTCTCTCTCTCTCTCCTTTTTGGGTGTTTAGTGGAGAGACGTTTTATACAATATATATATATATATTGAATTGTCTCCTTCAACTGCTGTTCTCGGCGTAAAGGATTTGACATTTCACACACGAATGTGTTAGCTGATGCGTGGATGGAGTTGATATAGATATTTACTTCGCTGTTCTTGGTGTTGTTTCTTCCTGCTGCCACAAGGGTGAGCTGAATATATATATATATATATATATTGGCGAGCAAAGAAGGGATAATTGGGGGGCGGAGAGAAGGTCTTAGCCGATGATTTCTTTTCAAGCGTTTGCTGAGAGCGCCTACGTTTACGCCGCTCCGGCCACACAGGATTACGTTCAATCGACTGTTTTTACACCGCTTGGATTTGGTCCATCCTACAGCTCCATCTTTGCGTTTCCACCATGCACCACGAACCTGCGTTTAGTAGGAATAGGGACGCGAAGTCTGGCGACGCAGGCACATGCTTTAGCTGTTTATTTGCAGGATGGCCGGGGGTTTAGCGTGAAGACCCTGCACGAGTGGGGCATGCCGTACTGTCTCAGCATGGTACCCAAGACGGAGAAGGAGGGAGAAGGAAAAGTGATGGCGGCGGTAACGAGAAATTTGTTTCCCGGAGTTTTGGGAGTAGGATCTCCCGTAGTTGTAGTGAACGTTGGTTGTGCCGAGGCCGTTCTGCGAGGCAGTGACGTATTTGCTCCAGGCGTGGTATCGTTCGTAGGTTCCTTCGTCGCTGGACAGGAGGTTTTTGTCGGTGTGTACCTTCAGCCTGCCAGCGCAAGCACCTCAGCTGGCGGTGGAACGGATAGGAGAACTCTGTTGTTGTGCGTTGGTGCTGGAACTGCACTGATGGATCGCCGCGAGATTATTCGGGGCCGGCAAAACGGCGTGGCTGTTCGAACGAACTGGACACCGATGGCACAGCCATCGAAATCAATTCTATCATCAATGTTGGATGCAGCAGTGGCTACTCTTTTGAAGGCCGGTGCAACTGAAACAAGTAGTTTCTTTTTGCAGAATTATTCAAGCATGGTGGCTGTCGATGTTCTTGTACAGCAATTCTCCAGTATTGACATCCAGCGTGAAGGGCCCTTGGCGTTTTTGGATGCCTGTGCCGCACCAGGTGGCAAGGCAAGTCTTTTGTTATCTTTGTTACATGAAAAGGTGCAGGGGTTGGATTCTTCCCTTGGAAAGAAAGACAAAAGTTCAGATTCTGTATTTCCTACGTTCACGTTAACATGCTGTGAACGCAGCAAAGCGCGTTATAAGCGACTTCTTGATCTTCTTGAACTTCATTTTGGGATATCGATTGTGAAACGTCTGGTGAGGCCCTTCTGTGGCGATGTCAACAAGTTGCAGAAAACGCAGCGTGATGAGGATGTGGATAGTATGTGGGAATGTGAGTTCCACGGCATTCTGTTGGACCCTCCCTGTACAGGTATGGGATTGAGGCCAAAGTTAAACGCGCATTTAATCACTCCACAAGGCATACGGGATTCGGCAGACTATCAACGGAAGTTGTTCGACTCGTGTGTAAAAATGCTTCGGCGCACAGGAACATCTGTTCTGGTGTACAGTACCTGCACCATAACTCTTGACGAGAATGAAGCCAACGTGCTTTGGGCTCTTAATACATATCCGTTTTTGCGACTTGCACGAGCTAAAACTAATGACAAGAAGAGGTTGTGTTTACTTGGTTCAACAAACTTTGCAAATGGTCGTCGATTTCTTCTGGAGGAGGAAATACAGAAAGCTCAGCGTCGCAATGAACTTCTTGAATCGCACACCGCCTCAACGGAGCGTGGCGACACTGATGAACCGGAGAATCCACTGATGATACTACGCTTTATGCCGGGTCTTTCAACCATGCCGGAGGAAGATGGAGTTGGGTTTTTTCTGGCCGTGTTTCTCTGTCAATATCATGCAGATGAATTCCCGAAACACGCAGAACTGTGAGAATTCAGTGGCCGGGGCATCCTCCTTTTATATTTTCTATTTATTTTGTTTTGTTTCCCTTCTTTGTTTGTTTGTTTGTTTTGTGCCTTTTGTCCCTCGCTCTTTTCTCAGCGTTATTGTACGTTTAACTCTCTGTCGCTCCTCGTCCGTCTGAATTTTTCCCCCCGAGCGCGGTGCTGACTGAGGTCCGTGCCCTTTCAGCTTCGTGTGTTTGTTGTATTGAATTCTTCCTGCTTGTTGTGGATGTTTCTGCCGTTGTTGTTGTTGTTTTTTCTTTTGAGTTTTTTCTTCTGTGTGTATGTATGTGGGTGTGGGTGAGGGAGGAGCGACAAGGAGGGAAAAGTACATTTATTGGCCGTGCGTGAAGGAATTGGGACCGGGGTGAAATTGTGGAGACTTTTCGTTGTGTCTTTCAAATGGGCAGCCGGGGCGAGGATGAGAATGAAGAGGAAACGCCGCTCGAGATTGAAGACTACTCGTGCAACACCCACTTTGAAGAAGTCGTTGGGGAAATTGAACGTTATCTCGTGGAGGAGTTTAGTAAGCGACAGGAGCTGCAGCGGTTTCTTGTGAATCCATTGCATCCCCATCACAGCCACGATGAAAGAGACATGGCGGCAAGAGGCAGTAGTGATGGCGTTGGGGAAATTGTCTTTGGACGGAGCTTTTTTATTTTTCCTGAGGGCGGTTACGGCAGGGGGACGAGCAACACCGATGACGAGGGCATTGCTGTGGAAATTCATGTACAGAATGGCTTACGCGAAAATGGAAAGCGGCAACGACAACAAAAACTGCACCCAATCGCCCGTATTTTTGCACTTCCATTGTTTTTTTTGGCACGAGGGACCACAACGGCACCGTCGTATCGCACCAGTGAGTCCTCCTTTTACCTCTCACTTCTCACAACCGCAGTGGGCCGGGTGTTGCGTGGTCCCCTTTCACTGCGCTTTGATGGTGACCCCTCGTGTCTACCATCACCGTTCTTTTACGTTAACGGTATGGCGCCGTGCTTTGTTTCGGTGGGAGATCATTATCAATTAGCCTTCAAAGGGGTGGCACCGCCGGTCATGGTGGGTCATGCAAAATGCAGCACAACGGAGCCGTGGACACTGCAACAACTCATTGCTCAACCTGTAGTGAAATGCCGATTTCACTGTAGCGCCTACCCGCATCCGCCAGAGTGGTGCCAAAGGATATCGGACCAGCTGGATATGTTTCAGCTCCAGATTGGACCACAGAGCCGTGTCCAGACGGATGTGTTTGATGGCATTTGTGTATCTTTGCAGCGAACATTTCGCTTGAATGTGCCTCGGCGTTTTTTGGAGAATCATTATGCAGAAGTTGAGCCTAGCTCCTGCGGCGATGTAAAGGCAAGGAGTTCCACATTGTTGTGGCATGATATTCTGGAGCTTGAAAATGAAACTATGCTTCTTTCTGCAGGCCCAACGAACTTCCCCTTTGGTACCGGCACTGCCCCTTTACGGGGTATTGACTTTTGCTTCCAGTGGAACCAATTGCTGGATACAGAAGCACATGACGGTGGAAGGCGGAATTCCAACCTGAATCCATTTGCCCCAGAGGGAATGGTATTACAGAATAAGTTAACCATCCGAGCCATGGCGATTCCAAAGAAGGAATGTGAATTGAACCATACCGCGTGCAAACCTCTTTCGGAATACGTGTATATGGTAATGGAACATGTTTCACCGGGAGAGAGTTTGCGAGAGGTGGAAGGATATTCTAATATTCTTACCTGTATAGCCGATGACATTGTCTTTGGTCATAAAATAAGTCTGGCGAGGCAGAAAGCACTTATTGATCGCCTGACGAGGCATGAGGGACAGAGTGAGAAAGTAAAAACGGATATTCGTCATATTTATTTTCCCGGTTCACTTCTTTGCCGTTTTGCATATGCGTGTGCAAATCAAATACACAATTTGGACGATGTACTTCCACTGTGGTTGTTGGTAGTGGAACACCTTGGAGATTTACTTGAAAGCAAGGGCGAAAGACGACAAGCTCTAGAGGAACTCATTGGAATCATTGGAATCCCAGACGTGGAGGATATTGATCATGGATTGCCGTTATTGGTTCAGAAATTGCAACTGCTTTCCTATTGCGCAAGGCGTATGTTGTGTGAAAGTAAATCTGTTGCGGTCAAGCAACCCGCCGATGGTTGGGATGACGACATGGACGATTTGGCTTCACACAGTAGAGGTGAAGCTTCTGCAGCCGATGGCGAGTGTTCAGCGGATGGATTTCTCATCTCAGGAAAGTGTCTCATTACAAATGGTGAGCCGTTAGTGGAGCCAAAGGCACTCCCCACCCCTCCGTGCACATCGGATGTGATGATGATGAAGGCACAAGAGCTGCAGAATCTCGGTACGGAATCGGCAGGGCGGCACACACGTGCATGGATTCAGAGTGAAGGACTTTTTAATGACATGTGTTTATTCCTGTATTTCAACCGGGCTCAAGAAGGGCGTGTGGTTCGTTTTCCGGATTTTGTTCAGTGGCATAGTCCACGCGACTTTATTCCTCCCTTGTGTGACTCGAAAGAAAAAAAGGACGACGATGATGCGTACTTGTCTGAGCGGATGCGGCGCCATTCCAACGCTGAGAATGGATTGGTGAATATATGGTGGCCATTGTGGGAGCGAGCCACTCCTCGATCGCCGGAGGAGATTATTGCTCAGTCGTTTGTTCCCCATGAACAGGCTCGACTTATTATTCGGTGGATGGAGAAGGAACTCTCCGCTTCAGAACTTCTCATTGAGACTGTGCACGCAAATTTCACTAATTCCCTGCATCGCATCCTCTCACATCGCTGCATGGAGGGCAATCGGGAAATAGCGGCATATGCGCAGTGTAAAAACGAAAACATCGCAAAAAGTATTAAAGCGGTGATGCAAACGGATGGCAGTGCACCTTTAGATAATGAAGGTATTCGCACCATCTACTGCAGTGCTATTCGTCAGATTGGAGAAATTGAAACGTGCTTGTGTGCTGCCTTGGCGATTGAGCGTATGTTAGGTGCGTCCCACGGTATCAGTGACGCCGCGCCACCACACACCGATGAGCCATGCACATCCATGGGACAACTCATCGCGACGCTTGCCTCCCCGATAGCAGAAAAAGAAGAAGACGACCACAAGGAACTCGCATTAGTTGAGGCTTCATTAAATTGGAATTTATGGCAACGCGGTGGCATTGCAAATCGTTTTAATGAGGACGATCAGAATCCAGTGACGATGCGGCTTCGTGCCACGTGTATGGCAGAGAGGCCTTTAAATACAACGGCATGCTTTCAACAAATGTTTGCTGAGATGGATGAAACAGGCGTGTTCCGTGTAGCGTTGGCGCTAGCGGACGAAGTTCTGTAAAAAAAAAAAAAAATGGAAATTACGGGTGTTTATGATCACAGTGCGTCCATGTCTTGTTGTCGGGTTGTTGATTTTTCTTGTGTGTGCGTGTTGTTTTTTTTGTTGTTGTTGTTGTTCTTTTCTCTTTCTCGTGTTCTCTTTTCGGATCTCGCCTTCTTTTTTTTCTCTTTCCTGTACGTTTGTCACCACGTAAGGCCAATCCCTTACTGTACCCCACACACAAACAAGAAAAGATGACTGACATTGCTCTTTGTACTTTTATTTCCGGCAGCTTTATTGGCTCCATCTATGCATGGCCAAAGGAACATCGATTTGCATGCTTATGCATAAGAAATCTGAAAGAAGCATCAAGAGATGGGCCCCACCGTGTCATTCGCGATGATCCTTCAACCATTCGAAGACGCATGGTGTCGTTCGTGGGTGCCACTGGAATGAGCATGATGCTCCTGGAAAAACTTCTTCGAAAGGAACCTGGAGATTGTCAAGCGCTGTTAGGTAGTTCTCTCTTACGCTACATCATTTGCTCCGAAAGGTCAATTTCTCAGTCAATGGTTGAGGTTGCTGAAACTGGCGTGGCGACGCTGCTGCTATTTAGTGGTCCTTTTTTGGAGGGTGTTCGATTTCCCAGGTGGTCGGACACGGATCATATCATTTTCTTTAGAAACTATATATTGGCCCCTTTTGGAGAGGAGATATTCTTTCGGGCATTGCTTTTACATCTTTTAAGGCGGCGGCCGGTGGCATCGTCCATTGTCATCTCCTCTGTTTTTTTTGCACTTTGCCATACGCATCACATCTTTACAATAGCCGCGGAAGAATGTCAAATCGCAACTGAATTGGATGAGACTGATACCGGTGTGCTCATTTACTGGAAACGAGCAGCGGGGAATCTCACTGGCGTGCTTGGGTGTACTTTCGTGTATGGTTTGCTCGGCGGTTACTGCTACACAATCGTTTGTGCAAAAAATATTCTCGCTACGATACTTTTCCATTCCATATGCAACATGCTTGGGCCTCCGCCGCTACGTTTTATTAGCGAAGGCTCACTGAGAAAACGGGCCCTGCAGGCCATTGTCTACGTGGCGGGGGCTGTTGGATGGGCGGTTGTGCTCTCCAAAATGCGGCGGCGATAAAAGATTGCCCGGACTGGAAAGGAAAAAAATGGGTGGTGTGTATTCTCTTGTGTGGGTGTTACTTTTATAAATAAACATATTTTTTCGGCGGAATCTTTTGGGGGGCAAAGGAGGAGAAAGAGGGAAGAATAGCACCCTTCGCCGTTGGAGATGTTGATGTCACTTAAATCCACATTTTTCTTTCTTTTTTTTTTGACTGTTTTTTTTTTTTTTCTCGACTTATGGTGCACGGCGTCGTCGTTGGGCGAGAGCACACCGTTGCCTGTCGGAGCGTCTGGGGCGACTGCCTCTCCTCGGGCGACGGACTCTTCTGGGGTGCAGCCGAGTCGACATCCTTCGGTGGTGTGCCGCGGCCGGGATCAATGCTCTCCGCAACGGGGACGGATGTCCCCTGGGAAGTCTTGTTCAGTATATGCCGGTGAAACCGTCCTGCTCCATACACCCTCTCCTCGCCGTCCCACGGAACCACTGGAAGGAAACTGACGCTGGTGGCGGATATCGTGCACACCTGCGCGTGGTCACGGAAAATAGCTTTTCCCTCGTCGTAGGGCGGAGCAACCCACGTAATCGTCGCCTCGGTCGTGCATGGGGCACAACGGGCGTTACCCTCTTCAGTCACTCTCAGACGCACCCGCATGCCGAGGCACTTCAATTCCGTATGCATGGCAGCACCGAGATGTGTCTCCTCCGTGTCCCTCTCATCCGTCGTGTTGGCGGGAAGCGTGTCCAGACACCACGAAGAGGGCTTGTCCCCAGGCACCGCAGACAAATATTCTCCCCTCCAAATAACAGCGGCAGCATCCCTCAGATCCAGTGCGGGATCAGTGATGGGGCAACGGTCCATCGGACGCCTTGCTGACATTTCATGGATACTCCCCAAGCACCAGCCACTGGAATACCGATCCAACGCGCAGCATTCGACGGGAACGCCCAATTCGCACAGCATGCGAAGATATTCACCCATGTTCAGTGCGGAGCAATTCCTCTGCAGCAGCTCACAGACCGCAACGCATCGGCTCCGCCATCTCCCAGTTCACCCTCATGCAGCCCAGGTCAGCCGATGCAGCCAGCGTCAGCTCCGTGCAGTCGCCGGCAACCCCAATCAAAAACATCCACTCATCCCTCGCGTGGCACTGCGATAAGCGCGACTCCAGCGTCCTCCCGTCCCCATCGCCATCCTGCAGCTCCATGTCATCAATGTCGTCGCAGTTGTAGTGCTCCCTCGCAGCCATCGCGGCATTCGTCGAGTGCACCACCACCGACAGCGCCCTGCCACGCACACCAATAACATTCCTCACCATGCTGGGGTCTGCCATGTGCGGGCAGTTGAACCCGACAGCACGGGCCATCAGGTGCGCGGCGATGCGGGTGGCGAGGCATCCGCGAAATAAAACGGCCGAGCAATGTTCATGGCGCCAGCGATGGGACGGTCATCCTCCAGCGTGGCGCACCGCAGTGCCCACACACCACCCGGCGCTGCAGCCACGCACAGCACTGTGTCAGAATTGGCAGCACCAGCGGAACAATGCTCAGCAGGCACAGTGAACCGACTGCAAACACTGCCAGTGGCAAATGAGGACACAAACAACGAACCCTCCAGTGGCCGGACAAGCAGACGATCCGCATGCAGCTTACAGCAGCAGGGACAACTTCACCCCCAAGAATGTCCCCGTGCGCAGACGACACGAAGTCATCCTCACAGTGGCGATTTTCAGTCAACAAATTCATTGTGTAATACCGCTCTGAAATACAATAATTCCTGGCATCATCCATGTCCCTTGTGGATAAGTCGATGCGGATGGTCGCCCATAAATTCCTCCCGATGACGGTGTATGTCTGCGACGCACCCTCTGCCCCAAAAGATCACGTCTCTCACAACAACTTGGATCACATTCGCGCCGCCGGCACGCATCACATAGCTAAAGAATCGAGGGTACGTCAAAGTGACAGCAAAGCACCCGCTGGCAATCACACCATAAACACCATCACATGCAGCAGCACCAGCGTCTCAGTCTACTGTGGAGTGTAGAGCGAATAAACGATTGATGTGGTTGTTAGGCAAATGTTTCGTGGCTTGCTGAAGCAACATAGGCTAATTGCGTTGGAAGAAACAAAAAACAGGAAAATACAAAAAAGGATATTCGGCCATCCCCAATTTAAGCGATACACCAATCAATTAAAGTGCAGTTGGGCGGGAAACACACGGCACCCCTCACAGGAAGAGTGCAGAAACAATTAAAAGAGGGAAGAGTAGAAAAGAAAACGCGTCCACTCTCATTGCCCCCAAAAGCAAAAAAGCAAAGAAGGATTGAGAATGGCGAGATTAAAAAATAAATAAAACAAAACATTTTAATGAAAACAAAAAAAAAGAATTTAAAAAAACTCACGGTGCTCCGCCCATGCAGCCATGCAGGACGGCAGCGGTGCGTGTGGTGCAAAAGAGAGCACCAACGGGCCTGCATGGGTGTGCATGCATATATACAATGGGCACATTATTGTGTGTGCCTCGTGGGGTGAGGTGAGGGCGAGAGTCCATGCAAGGGGACACACACACAGAGAGAGAAGGACGAGTGTGTGTGCGGGCGGTGCATGGCTCTCTCACACTCTCACGCGGTCACCACCGCAGCCGCAGCCGCACACGCAACAACAACAAGAAGCAAAAGAGGGGAGGTGGTGTGGGAGGCCGCGGTGCTGCCGTCACTGTCGACAGGCTTCGTCTTATCACCTGTTTTGGCGTTTGTGGTTGGCGCTGTTGTGGATCCTGCACTCTGAGAGACCGTATCGTATTTGTTGGCTGATGCAGCTTCACCATCGGAAGTCGTTTCGGGTGGTGTGGCGCCTTCAGTGGAGAGTCGGCTCGGATGATTGGTGGTTGGAGTGCCTTCTGTGCCAGCATCAGACCGCAGGGCCGCGGTGCTGCTGTCGCTGTTGTTTGTAATTGCGGTTTGATTTGTACCAACACCATTTTTATCTTTTGTGGATTCTTTTTGATTGTATTCTGAAAGTTCTCCTCCTTGATCCTGTTTTTGTTTTTGTTGCTGCTGTTGCTGCGGTATTTGATCTTGTTCTTGTAGTTTTCGTCTGTTCTCTTCTTGGTGTTGATCGTGTTCTTTTTTTCCCCCATCATCCCCTTCGTTTTCGCCTTGTCGGCTTTTTCCCCGAAGGTCTCCTGTACGTATGCCTCCCAATGTTTCCCGCTGGCTGTCATTTAAATTCACTTCCGAAGCATCTTCGTCACGTGCAACTTTTTCTTGGCTCCGAACTCTTTCTTCGTTTCGTTCCCCATCACCCAAAACTTTTATTTCATTTCCAACGTCCGAATCGCCATCATTTCGCCTTCTTTCGATGATTCTCCTGCGGGGCTGGA